CAACGGAGTAGGATTTGTAGCTAAGATACGCCACCTCTTCTGATATTGGCTTAAACACTGAAGCGCCATTGGAAATTCGACTATGGAAATTTCAGTGGTGCCCCCCTCTCCCTTTGTGCCCTAAGCACGTGCTCATTTTGCCTAATGATAAATCTAACTCTGCCTATGACATAATCAGGAGAGTCCAAATGCCTACGCGCGTGTCAAATTCGGATGAGTATGGTGTGGATATGATTCTAGTAGTTGCTTAGTTTTAAATTGTTGACAGAGTAATTAAGCCTCACCGTACACACAGTGATACCTCAGTAATCGAATGACTCGACACTCGAACAATTCGGTAGTCCGGTAGTCGAACCGCTTTTCAAAGATTAAGTAAATGATACAAAATTTTTATTTTCAATATCTTTTATCTTTATATATTATGTACACATTTAAATAATAGGTTTGGTTAATATTTTGGGTATTTAGAAATTCGTAAGAAAGTATTAAAATAATTAGCATTTCATTTTATCTTATGACAGAAAAGATTTGGTACTCGAACAAATCTGAAGGCAAACACCAATCCCGAACGAATTATGTTCGACTACCGAGGTATCACTAGTTTATTTCATCCTCGAAGAGGAACATTAATAACTTGAAGCCATGCTGTCGAAATTAAGGTGTTTCAAAAAAAAATGTTGTTGGGACTGGTTTGACGCACTAGCCTGGTACGGGAGTGTTTAATAGTCGAGAATGGAAAGAGTGAAAATAATCAAGTCTTCTTTCACATTTACGTCAACTTTCGGCTTCAACGCTTCGCCTGACCAATGTTAGAATTGTGGCGAGGCGAATACGAAATCACAATGGAGAAATAAAGTTAGGAGATAATCAATGCATATCCCATGGTTTAATGGTGAACAATTCTAAATAAAAACAAACAAATATATGGTTTCTGTAGGAACTGGAATATAGTTGTAAGTCTTTATATACTTAGGACCCACATAACTTGCCAGCTAAACAATATCAATGTATGAAAAATTCAGAATCAAACCAAACAAGGGTAAGAATGTGAGTCTGTACGTTCAAGCCCTATTTTTATAAAATAAATAAGGAATTTATAATCCCAAAATGAAATATACTAAATCGCAATTGATTTGCTTAAGAATGACTTTTTTACTCTATTGTCATATTATAACTTGATTTGCTTTATAAGCCGTAAAAACACATGGATTCGAATTATATTTGATATTCTAAAAATAATAATTTAATGTACTTCAATATTTCTACTCCTAAAGTGAAAACATTTAGGTATTCGCAATTGAATTGCCTAGAAACGCCCTTTTTCACGTTTTCGCTAAGTGTGGACATTTATTTGCTTCATATCTTTTAAACTAATATGGATGTGCATTATTTTCTACGTTCTAAAAATAAGTGAATTTAATGTACTCCAATATACATTAAACGTATTTATATATACTCCTGATGTGAGCTATTTTGGAAATTCGCAACTGAATTGCTTTGAAACGCTCCTTTCGCACGTTTCTAGCTAACTATGGATAATGGTAAGATCAACTTCAGGTGACTGCGGTATAATTTACGATCGAAAATTCGCCCATATCGCCACTTTGAGAATCGCTGCAAAAAAGTGCGTGTGTGTTTGTGAATTAATTTGATACTTTTAGGTGAGTGAACACGTACCGCTGTTTTGGCAAACGCTTTCAAATCCAACCTATATTCTGTACGAGTGTACGGTATGTATAAACCATACTTAAGAGTTTATTTGCTCTCCTGATTCTATAATCAGTTTTTATTTATTTGTTTTTATCAAGTATGTTATCGTCTGTTAAACCGTAAATATATACTGATTTAATGAGTTGTATACTTGTTATGCTCCGTTCATGGAGCGGCCACGCATTGTTCCTAGTGAGTCGTTATAATGCGACCTTGCGCCCGTACCGTACCTTACCCTATGGCCTATGCGACCGCCATGCGCCATCATTCGCAATGCACCGATCTAATCCCTGAATGCTGGCATAAAGTACCGTACCGGTACAGAAGTAGTTTGATATTATATTTTGTCCTTGGAAATAATGCAGCGAATTAGAGATCTAGATTCTAGACTAGACAAAGCGTGTGATAATACCGTACTGTACGGTACCGGTAACGTAAAAATAGTACGGTCTGGTACCGGTACCGGTGCTTCTAGTCAGCGCATGACAATTTATGGTAATGAATTAATAAAAGCCTGAAAGCCGAGCCAAGCAAGAAAGTTCAAACAAATATAACGTTAGCCCAAAACAGCATGATCCTTAATTTTTAACATGTACATTTGACTGTCTGATATAGTCTAAAACGCGGATAGGCTACGTTCAGGCATTGGACTCCTGTTAATTCCCTTCACACGACGGTGTGGCTCATCGTGCTAAGCATTATGTAAAATCCTATCCTCCTATTATTGCGTTAGGAATACGCTCGCTCGACACCGCACCTCTGATTACTCTGCGTGGGTTCGCAAGTTCCAATCCCATGTGAGGATGGCTACGGTACCACCATACGAGAGGATTGCTGGGCTCCTCGCCGCCGTAGGTTGGTTCACGTACCCGCTGTTCGGTTACGGCTTCTTCCACCACCAAGTTTATGCTTCCGAAAACAAATAACTAACTAATCCCATACCGGTACCCGACATGGAATGGTACGGTAACCGGACGAGAGGTCGTGATTCGTCATATGGTTAAGCTGTCTTATCGGCTTTCCCCTGCCCCGAGATAAATATGTAAATCCTATTCAAATACCGTACCGTACATGTCACTGTTTACAGAAGTGAAATATAAATTTTTGGTGCTCCCGAAGTATGCGAACCAAGATGGCGGACATTGGAACGTAACATGGGTAACAGGTTAGGGTTAGGCGATAATTTCTTTCCAATTTTCCTTATTTTAGTCCTATTATCAAAATTACGTCACTACGACCCGAAGAAGCCGAAATCGAACGTCATTTCTCTCGTTTTCTAGTCGCAACGTTCCCGACAGGAGAGAGATCGCTGACGTTAGTCGATTCTTTATCGTCTGCGCCGATGCCATTTCGGGCGATCGTACGAGTATTTGGCAAGCTCTGTGGACGTGATTGTGACGTCGTAGTGACGTAATTTTTGGATGGCGTAGTCAGATGAGGGTTAGGATTGGCATGTCAAAAAATTGTTATGCTACGCCTACTAGGAGTACGTTAGGTACGAAACTACACGAGACCCCGATATATCTTTGTTCATATGTTCTAATTCAGAACGCGATGAGCCGCTGCAGCCATTGACGAATGTCGGTTGGAGCTGCTGCCGCTGCATCACGAAAATCTTGGAATTGTAATAATACTTTTTATTTTGAATCGTAATGCTTAGATATAATTTTCAGATATAGGCCAGTAGGATATATCATTATACTTCATAACTCACTTTTACATAAGTTGTACTAAAACTGTACAGCTGTATGTCTTATAATAGCAGTGTACAGATTCGAAAATGCTGTTACAAATAGGAATAGTTGGTTGTTATTATTTAGGCCTAGTTGTTGTTTCAATTTTTTGGGTGCTCATTTTATGTTTGTGTTGATATAAGATGATGTGATGATATTTCTAGTTTACTGATTTATCCGTTCAATCACGATATATTTGACATTTTACAAAGTTTTTCACTTACTGCAGTACTGGGGATATTCTATGTTACAGAGTGAAATTGTTCTTAAAGTATTGCCATTATGTCGCATGTTTGAACTGGAGATGTATCGGGTATCGGTATCGGCAATATCGGTCATTTTTTCGGTATCGGCCATGTATCGGTATCGGTTAGATTAAGTCCGATATTTCCGATACATTTACCTTTTTGATTTGGTCCAGAATGTTTTATTAAAAGATAAGTTGGAATACTACTTTTTAATTTATTTTTTGTCTGGAGAGATCGTGAGCTATGAGCCATACTTGTCCCCACCCCCGCGAGAGAATAGGATTCACGTATTTTAACTATTTATCAGCCAAATTAGCTCAACTAATTTGGCTATTTTCGCTGTCAAATTTTATATTGACATTTTTAATATTACATAGTAATAATGAAGAAATTTATCAACACAGCACATAACAAAAAGCAACTAGGCGCCAGTTTTAAATCATACAGTGGAATTGTGGGTCTTTTTAACGGCACATGTCCTTCTGGCACGAGTATAAATTCTGACTGTTTGTCGTCAAGTACGACTGTCATTTAGTCTGTCGACATCGATAAACTAAATTTCGTCACAATTATCAGTCTACGCAGGTATTAATTTTAATTTTGTTAACTACACAATTTCTTTATAGATATTTTGACATGACCGCCTAGAGTTAGACTAGATTGTCTCAAAATATTTGACAGCAATTGTAAAATATTATAAAATAGTGAAGTAAAAAAATCTCCTCGATGGTTATAGGTAGGCCTTCTTCTTGTCGGTGCTGATTGATATTCTTTCATGTTGGCTTTGTTTTATTGCGGCGACGATTACGATTAACCACAAAATAAAATATTTGTTAAATGCTTCTAATTTGAACGTAGGACGGCGGCGCTAGAATGTGTGGGCGATATTTTATTTAAACACGAAAAACGATATTCGAAGGGTGCGATATTAACAATAAATTCGAATTGGGCATCCCGACTTAGGATCCCGAGATTACTAGCGTGTATCTTAATCAGTCAAAGCATCTGGATGTCAAACATCAATTTCATATTATTTGATATATCTCTTTTTCGATCTGAAATAATGTGTGCTATGAACAACGCTCAAAGACCATTGTTTTAACCCGGCTGCCCTACAAAGCACACCTAATTAAGTAATAATTACATAGTATCAGAATATCGGTAGTATCGGCGTTTTTAGCTGGTATCGGATCGGTATCGGTATCGGCGAAAAAAGTGGTATCGGTACATCTCTAGTTTGAACTTCATTTGAAAATTGGGTAACATTCAGGAATTTCCATACCATGAGTTAAATGAATTATCTTGTTTGCCGATTTTCAGATTTGTTTATATGAAATATTAAAATAAATGTTTAAATAGAAAAACCCCAACAATATCTGTCTATACCGAACAATCATTTTTGCAATTTTTATGTGGAATTCCTCCCTTTACTGCCTTTCATCTCATTTTTGAAATGGCAGTACTGATTATTTCACATTCGATGTGTGGGACTATTGCAAAACAATATCAGTAAACACTGACGGACTATCTCACTTCAGTAATTTCTGACAAATCATCAATAACATAATGGATTTTATGCGAAAATTGGTTAGAGGGAGTACTGTTATTGTAAGTATTCAATTTGTTTTTGCGTGTTTACCATATGATATAAGAATATTAGTGTTATTACTATTTGTTTTACTATCCTAATACTAAGTAAAATATATGTATTTTAAGGATAAATCAAGGAGGGAAGCTCAAATTTTGCGATTTTCTGCTGGCTTCGTAAAAATACATTCTGATTATGTTTGTGACCACCAAATCGGTGCAGCGAATTAAAATCTATCAATGTAACTTCCGTATTAGTTTGTTCAATTTTATAAGTTGTCGGAGAAAAAACATTAATATATAAATCCTATTGACACTGGTATATTCCAGGGGTGGCCAACCTGCTTTCGAATGCTATCGACCAAAATCGTCAAAATAGCTCACAATCGACTGATCGCTAATAAGGCCATACACAAAAACGAATGAGTGCTGAATATGCGGATAACTGCACACAAGCATACAAAAAATTATGCCGATGCTATTAACATCCGTTCTTTTGGCGCATACCGATCAACTATTCAATAAGTGGCGATATACGTGTTGGAGTGAAAGTGGTGACTCCTCTACGGCCCATCGAAATGGGCCTCGCCCATCAGGCTACGGGCCGTGGCCCATCAAGTTGTCAAAGGGACTATTCACAGTCCCCGAACTCATAATAGAACTATAATGTGAAAAATCTGAACAAAATTTTGTCCTAACCCTAACCTGGTACACAGACTACAGGAGTATCCTTTTTCTGTAGCCTAGTATTTTGCTTTCTTTTTATATGAAGGCTTATCGTAAGAAAAAAAAATTGGTGGCATCCCACGATTTTTTTTTTGGTTCGAATATTTACAATTTTGTGAAAATTGAAAATTTTGGTAAGATAGTTGAACTTTTCTTGATGGGGCCACGGCCCATAGCTTAATGTGCCACGGCCCATGTGGCCCAATTAGATGGGCCGTGGCCCCGGCCCATGGGCCGTAGAGGAATCACCACCCCTGTAGACGTGTTGGCCACCCCAGGTATATTCATTTCAGACTGAGTGTGGATAAGATCCAATGGAATAAATGCATTTAATGAGTTAAAAAACATTTATCTTTCAAAAAATTGGGTCTATGTTTTAGCATGTTTAAACAGTACTCTAATGTATTATATTTCTCTAGTCATCATCGTCCTCAACATCGAGCGATAACACATATGAGCTGCTAACATTAAGAAGGAAATTTCTGGAAATCAGTCATTCACAAAGACCGACTTCCACCAAAGATCAAGAGGATAAACTATATTCTATGCTGCCATTGTTTTATGAGGTAAAAGCTTGTTTAATTTTCAGCAATAAGATACTTATAATGGTGCATTGAAGTCTTGAAGATTTGCACTGATAAGTTTAAAAAATTTCATCATATCTGTATATATATTTGTCAAATGTATTCGTTAACCCATTCTCATGCCCCCATTGTAGAATCAATCGTAGGGCTTAGACATTTAAAATCGATCTTGTTTGGGGAAATTAAAAGTGCCCTAATGAAACTATTTTAACCTTAGCTCTTATTGTATACATTGTCATAACAATAACTTTTGTGATCACCAGAGTAGAAATTTGTATTTTTTGTAGTTATGGCCTTTATGGGGTTATTGTTCATTGTGAATGTGGGCATTTTTATTAATAGGAGATTGTTTTAGTACTTCCAGATAGTTTTAGCATGATAAACGTAGTCAAGTATTTTGATAGACATTTATTATCACTTTCAATAATAGGTGTGGTGTTCCTGATCAGGTCTTTCTCTTCAATTTTAGAAATAGTAATTTTCAGATGTATCGGAATTTTCAATCGAATAATTGATTTCGATACATTTTTGTTTATCTCAATTCCTGTCATGGAATGAAGTACTGCTCAAATGTGTGCTAAAATAGATCAAGAGAGTGAGAGTATGTATTATTTGAAGCGAGTCCATATCATATCGAATTATTTAAACAAAACAGATTAAACTTCTGTCTTATAGAAAACTTCTGAAAATAGCTTTATTAATTAAAACAGTGGTGCTCCAGGCTATACATTTGCCATACACAGGTCATGGGTTTCAATGTTTCTACTATCTTCTCTATGAAATTGAAAAGGAAATCTTATATTATTGTTTTGGAAATAGTAACTTTCAATTCAATCAATTCAATTACATTATGTTTGTCTTATGGATGCTGAGAAACATTTGCAAATTTTTATACTGATCACACAGAGTTTAGCATGTTTGTTTGTTCACTTTTTTGACAAAATAGAACTTTGAGGCATCTGTATTGTATTCAATGATTAACACATTGGGACAGATATTTAAACATGTTATTGTCAGAGTTTGTATTCATAAAAAACTTTGTCAAAAGCATTCAGGGACTATGGGATATTGATTGCCATTGTTGTTTCTAAAAATTGGCTGCTCTTACAAAGCTATATTCGTAGCGGAAGTCACAAAAAGCACCATATAAAAGAATAAAAATAAATGGTGTGCAATCAATGTAGCATATGATGCAGAACAGCCTACCCCATTTTAGCCTTTATTATTTATTTATATACTAATACCGATAATATTTTTTGTATTACCAGTATATACTGTAAATTATTGTCCGTATAATCAATATTTTTTTTTTCACCTAAATTATAACCAGTATTTTGCAATTATCAAATCAATTCATAATGCATCAAAAAATGGATAAAAAAGCAATATAACTAGTACACAGCCATTCATAATAAATTTTGACATTCTCAAAACATCTAATGTTTATTTTATTAAGCTGACTGGCTTTTAGTCATATGACATGCAGTATTTATTAGTTTGCGCAGGCTTTTGAAATGAAGCAAATGCACCATGAAACAACATCATTTATAGTTGATGGAATTATAGCATGTTGTAATAAAGTTATATTCCGGTATATATCAAATTGATTTCAATCATATGAATTGCATTAGAAAGCACTGAAGACTTGTAGACCAATTTGCCTTTTATGTCAAGCAATTTAATAGTCTTATTGGATTAACTTTTATAGAATTTTCTATTTGTTGCAACACTCTGTAGTGAGCAATGTCTTTTATACCAATTTTTTTTTTTTATGGAAATTGTTTAAAATTCTTATACTAGCAGGCAGGAATGTCAGAAACGAATTGAATATTCTAATACATTTGAAATTGATCATTTTCGATAAAAAAACTTCAAAATCATAATATTTTTATTTGAAACTTAGGATTTTCGAGCCATCAAAACATATGATATTGCTACTGGTTACGAACAACAGAGAAAACAATGACTCTCATATTTGATGAGTCGTTTTAGATGGGATCAACATGAATATATAATGATTTACCGTATGTAACTTTTAACAAGATCTCATCCCCAATTTGAAAGGTATTCAATATTTGAAAATATTTTTTTCAGAATGTATTCGGAATAGTGAAATATTCAGTTTTGGCCAACCCTGCTGGCAGGCAGTTTGTTGTTATATTATGCTTTTCGATTAAATAGATTTATTGGATTCCCAGCACATGAAGTTCAAATCCTGTTAATTTGAAGCGTTCTTTTAATCACAGTCAGGGAAAAATCAATAAATGAAATCATGATCTGTTTATTATAGTAGATTCCTTATGCTGTTTTAGTGGACGTGGAAAAGATTTGTGCAAATGTAATTTGTGTTTCTCACAGTAACTTTATATAATGGTTTAAATAGAGTTTAATGGAAATATCTAAAATATGCACAAAAAAAAAGAATAAATATGAAAAATAATATGTCTACTTGTCTCTTATTGAGGTGAAAATATGATTATGGAGTTGAAAATTCCTCCCATAAACAGAATGCCAATTTATCATTTTTTGGGAAAATCGTTTTTTTTAAGAATTTGGATAGGCATACAGTTTTTTTTTTAGTGAAATATACTTCCATTGATGCAAAAGTGTTGTGTAATTACAATTTTGCACGCCCAGTTGCCTCATAATTCTATATTGCTCGACAATAAAACAATTTTAAACTTTTAATCAACTTGAACTAGACTTAGATATAAATTGGATGTGCTATTATATGCCCCATTGAAATATTTCATGGTTTTCCCTATTAAAATATTTCAAAATGATTTTTCTATTAAAATATAGTTTTATTTGTAAAATTTTTTATAAAACTGTAGTCTGTAACAAAAGCATCTTCTCAAATTGTATATGTATCTGTATGTATTTTTATTATGAAGTCATGAGTAAAGAAAAAATAATTTTCTAAGCAGTTCAGAATATTGCTTAACTGCTTCTGGAACATACCAAAATCTTATATAATATATTAGGTATATATAAATTATTACAAGATAAAAATACATCCTTCTTACTATATGTATGAAGCATTGCTTCAACTTATCCTATAATGTATGGCAGATTTGGTGGAAATATCAATGTATTGCTAAAGATTGTTGAGATGTAATTTATTTTTACCATTCTTCAATATTTTTGAAATTTATTTTTAACATCTATCTTCATCTATATTTCAGATCTTCATTTCTGCACCACCAAAGTCTATGAGAGAAAAATTTGGGGATGTTTTGCAGTTCGCAACTCAGGTAAGTGAAATTGAACAATTATTCAATCTTTGGGTGGGAACGAGAGCATGTAATTGATAATGGATTATAGAAAGTTTTAGTCCTTTGAGTAGGAGTAGCAAACCCGAATAATTTGATATCTTGAAACATCCTGAAAATATATTTTTTAATCCAGAATATTGAATATTATTTAAAATGGTTCATTTCAGTATATAAATTTGAACAAATCATTATAGGCATCTGGCGAAGACACTGTTTTTCTGATTTTTTTTTTGTATAAGATGAATGCATTTAATTCTGATTTCAATTTTCCAAAATTATAATTTTTGAACTAAAAAGTTGTTTCAAGTTGTTGATAATGTCAAAAACTTATCCATAAATCGTATAGAATAAAAAATATGATTGTTGTCCTAACTGCAAACTTTTTGCTATCAACAAAATGTAATGTCGCTGCGCTGTTTTGAAAAAAATTTAGTGGGCTGAGTTCTTCAGTTGTCTAAAACTCACTCACTCACTGGTATTCAAAAACATGCAGTACTGTGCCAAAATACTCTATATTCTTAGTAGCTCTTGGCTTTTTTGTGATTTTGTGAACTATATCTTCGCTCAACCTTCTTTATTCTGATTAAGTGTTCATGTCCTTGCATTGAGAAAATAATCAAATTTTGAAAATATACAAATATTTCATTCAGTTTCAATATCTCTACAATCCATTCAATTCAATATTTCAAAATTTAACCCTTGACTTTTGTAAGGTCTATAACATTTAGTTCAGTTTGTGGTTGAGTCACTTTTAACATTTTAAAGTATGCTAGACCTATATATATATGGCCTGGCTTTATAATAATATAAAATAAATGTCAATATGATACACTGGTGTTTATAATTGTTTGTTAATTCCAACAATGGATGTATATTTAACATGAAAGTAATATTTCATATTCTTTTATGTATGGCCATCTCCCACATTGTCATAACTCATCTAACTTAAAACTTGGGTGCAATTTTATTTGGCTGCAATCAATTTGTGCTCAATTTTAGGGAGCTTGGAAATGAATATCATAACATTGATAATAGTACATAACATATGCTGGTCTTCGTAAATGTTAGTGATGCCCATATTTAAATAGTGTTTCTACTAGAATTCGACTATTTTTCGTGTATTTTTCCTTTTTTTTTTCAATTTCACACAGATTTATACACATGCATATATGTATACCCTCATTGCAACAGGCATGCTTTTCTCAAATTAAATTTACAATTGTCCAATATTTCAAGTGTATTGATGCTGTAAATATTGCTGTCCACAATTAGAATAATTAATTTAATTATTTAATTAATTCAGGTATCCAGGCTCATGGTCACTGAAATACGAAGAAGAGCATCAGATAAAACTACTGAAGAAGCAAGCGCCGCGATCACAGACTTTTTGCTCGTTCAAGATATTGAAGAAAAAAGTAGAGGATGGATTTTACTCAATGTTTTATCACTCCTCGCAGCCGGAGGGCAGGTTTGTTTCTTATAAATTTGCCCTAAATATGTCTCATATATTTCGAATATAAATTTTCTTGAATATAAATAAATTTTCACTAAAAAAACAGCAAGCTCTCTTACATATTTCTATAGGCCACCAATATGTTTATCGTTAATTTAGTTCTATTGATATCAAAATACTGATTATTATTATTTGACATGTTGTGTCGTATGGATCGTTTGCTAAATAGTTGTTTAGTTGTATTTTTTTCCCTTTTTCCCCTTGACCTGTTATTTCACCCAAAACTTTGCTGTTCTCTTTTAAGTCATGTAAATATCTTTTATAACTTTTGGTATGACATTTGACCGCTTTGTCTATATACTTAGCATTTTTCCCTTTTTACTGATTTTAAACTATTTGATAGACAATTTCATTTTTTTTTAAAATTATCTAAATCTTGCTACTTATATATTTTATGTTCAGAATGTTGTGGACTGTATGACGACAATGCATCTGCCTTCTACGCTTGTCAAATGTTTGTATCTGTTTTTCGATTTGCCACCTATATCTCTCGAGGTAGAAGGACCTATCCCATCTGAAGGTTCATTACACAGTGCTGGCCATAACGACGATCCGAACACAACTCCGAGAAAATCTGACAATGCCTCAAATAGATTTCAGAATCAAACGCCCGTGGCATCGTCACCCAAATATACAAAGTTTCAACAAGGCTCGAGAGTCAGAGTCGCATCGGCTTTGCAAAAGCAAACATTGGCGAGAAAAGAGTCTGGAAAACAAGCGCTGATGGAACACGCGAAATCAAGCACATCAATAAAAAGAATGGAATTGCAAAAAGTTTTCGTTCAGGTAGAGTGTTTTACATCTTACAGATTTTTTTTTAAGTTCAGAGATGACCGAATAACCTTCTGTTCTGAATACATCCCCAAAATATGGTAATAATTTGTAATATTGCAGGATTACCCAAAAAAACTAGAGCCCATATAATAGGCTACTTTTACGGAAATGACGAAAATTTATTTCTAACACTCGACTTCTGTAACTGTTTGCATATGATTGATTGTACCGAAAACTTTTAGTGATTTGGGACGTTTTGCACAAAAGTTATGTTCTTTCTAGGATATGTTCCGAATTAGCTGGGTTCTGTTTTTTTGAGTCACCTTGTTTGATGGAATTTCTAAATTATATATCCAAGAAATGTGTTTTGGGAGTGCATCCAAATTTCAAATAAACGTAATTTGAATAGTTTTTTATTTTTCTACCAATTTTGAGAAAGTAAATGAAGACCTTCTTTGTCATTTGCCAGATATGGTAATTTTTCAAATTAAACTATTTCAAATTATTCCTAAACTCATGAAATATTGAATATTGCTATTTTTGAATCTATTCAATTATCTCTGTGTTTGTCAAAACTGCTTAGCGATTTGATCGCAACGCAAGTAGGATTATACGTAGTTCCATTTATTGTACTATTGAATTATTATTTATACTGTAAATAGTATTCCTATATTATAAATGTATAAATTTACTAATACTCAATCACATTTACTCACACTAAAAGTACCATATTCAAACGTAGTATTTGAGATCATTGTTTTCCTAAGAAGTGTTGCAAATCTATACCTTGTATTCGGGATGTCACTCTGAATGAATCTTGTTTTTTGCTGCAGTAGATATTTTTTTTAATCTCATTTTGCAAATGCTATCAAATGCTACAGAATATAAACTGGTACTCCTGTAGTGTGTGTACCAGGTTAACGTTAGGCTATAATTTTATTCCCATTTTCCTTATTTTAGTTCTATTACGAGTTCGGGGACTGTCTGTGTTAGCCAAGTGAATATTCCCCCTGTCCATAGGTTTTAGTCCCTTTACACAACTTGATGTGAAGTAGGCGAACAAAATTAGTTACCTCTATATTGGTACACACACTTCTGGAGCGCCTATAAACTAATTTACCATGCATGATAAACAGAGAGGGTTTGAATTAAACATTAGGAATAATGGAATGGATTGAAAACTTTGATTTTAAACAAGTTCAGTAACCTTAACATCTTACTGTAGTTTTGTAAAAATATTATTTTTGAGCAAACATAAAAATTTTGTTTGTAACGTCTGAACTGTAAATTTGATAATTCTATATTAATTTTACAAATAATTCTCCAAATTATTATTGTCTTCATAGTTATTATTCCAGTATTTTAAAGTACCATAATCCAATTTTACTTAAAACTTTACCAACTTTACTTTACTTAAAAGTTATTAAACAGAGCAAGCTTAGTTTCCTGTGCATTTTGTTCCAGAACAAATGATGTCATTGTCGACTGTATAGATAGGAAGATTTATTGATTTTAGTAGTTCAATGGATTTTGTTTTTGCGTGGGCCATGTTCGAATGTGTGGCTTTGTGGTCCCGACTTGCTCATTTACTAGCTCCTATTAGCAAAGGAATTTTATGATGAGGTTATTGAGAAGTCACATGCTGGTAATTTATGAACCAGTTTCAGTTTGATTTTTGATATTTCTTGGTCTGATTTATGGGTTATAAATCAAAATCAATACAAAAAAAATGTTTTTAAGAATAAAGTGCATTTAAATTGTTATGTTTGGTGTAAAATTCATCCTATGTTCAACTAAATCATTATTATTGCTGAATTTTACAAAGCAAGTAGCATGGGATGCATGAGAAATCCCAAAATAAAAATCACTTGCAACGTCAAATTTGTGATATTGGAATTAAAAATGTTTGGTATTCTAGCTTTATAGAATATGCAATCACACAGGCTGAAACTTCTACTCATGTTGGGTTCAAGCATTAGACTTAATAATGATAATGCTATCGCCATATATCTCTCGTTAAAATCCTATGTTCACCAGGGTCACCTCAACCAGGGCAAGATAAATTGGGATACGCAATAACTGACAAACAGGATAAATTCATTTCCATCCAAAATCCGAAGATTTTTTGTTCAAGCCAGAAAAGAGGGACAATAATGTGCTACCCAATCAGTTTTCACTTTTCATTCTCCCACTGTGAATCTCGACTATTTTTCTGCCTTCTCATTGGAAGGCAATGGAAAAAAACAAACATTTTTAGTGTTAAAAATATGGTAAACTACTATTTCACACATACTTAGAATATTAAATATATTTTAAATTGGATAATGTTCAAATCAATTTATATTGAATGTGTGTGAACTTGAAATGCCTAAAAGTAGACATACAGGGATTTGATTAGTTTTCTATTATTTACGGTTCTCAGAACTGCTTAAATGAAGTGTTTTTTTGATCATATGGTCATTTTTTGTTCATTAAATGAAACCATACTGAAATATTCCCGAGTTCAAGAATTTGCAATGTCGTTTTTTTCATTTATTCATTTTTTGAGGAATTTACTCAAAGCAAAGTCACTCGCACTCACTCAGAAATGAGGGAGATTTATAAAGACGACCACTAAAATGCGAAGAGCTACTGAGACTATAACGAATTGTTGTGTAGTATAGCGCATTAGTAAATACTTAACTGAAATTAAAGTACTTCATGTTAATATGATCCGAAAAACAGCTATACAGCAGTGAATTCCACGTAACGAAATTCTCAGAAAATAAAACTGAGCTTAAAATTTTTTTGTCTGATAGTTATACTGACTGAATGACTTTAAACCGATTTGTTTCAGACATTCTTGCATGCAACTGTTTTTAATTTCAATTAATTTTGGTATTCCCAGAGTATGTGAACCAGATTGGGGTTAGTTCGTAATTTTATTCCGATTTTCCTTATTTTAGTTCTATTACGAGTTCGGGACTGTTTGTGTTAACCAAGTGAGAAGTGAATATCCCTCTGCTCATAGGTTTCAGTCCCTATACACAAATTGGTGTAAAATAGGCAAACAAAATTAGTTACCTCCATAATGGTACGCATACTACTTTCAACGCAGAAAAATAATAAATAATATTTTGTTTTTCAGACATTGGTTCGACTATGCAAACATATATCACCAGCTGAAGAATTATCTCACCGAGATGATCTTGGTTTATTATTTTCTGCCGTTACGTCTTGGTGTCCCCCACACAACTCAGTATGGAGACAAGCAGCGTCTGAAGTTCTCAATGTAATCTCAAGACATGGACTCAGTCACAATGTAGTGCAGTATATAAGAAGTAAGTATATGAAATAATTAATCGTTATTTGAGCAATCCGGACATGAGACACCAGGAAGAGTAAAGGGGGTGGAAGGATGCAAGTCATTGAATTCAGTTCTTGTTAGTATTACTCAAACAAGTTATGACTGTTGGCTGACAAATAAAAGTTCCAACTAGTTGAAAGCTTAATTTCTGAGGCCATTGCCGAAAGTGCTTTGATCCTGATTAGGCTATACTTTGTTTGTTTATGAATGCTTATCTTTTGTATGAATATACTGTTCCATTTATGGAACCATTTCTGGAGCCAGTACAATTTCGGTACTCCTGTAGTATGTGTATCAGGTTAGGGTTGGGCCATAATTTTATTCCGATTTTCCTTATTTTAGTTCTATTACGAATCCGGGAACTGTCTGTGTTAGCCAACTGAATATACCCCTGCTCATTGGTTTCAGTCCCTTTGCACAACTTGATGTTAAGTAGGCGAACAAAATTAGTTACCTCCATGTTGATACACATACTTCTTGAGCGCCCTGGCTTTTACATTCAATAAATCAGATTTAATATATTGCCAAATCATCCATACTTCAATGTAAAAACGACATACTTTATGAAGAATGACATGAAATCATATTGGTTCAGGTCACAAACTTTTGTATTGAATAATGATAGATATTTTGAAGCTTAAAATAACTTTTCAACACGTCATTTAAGCGATGTATGACTAAGTCTTGATGACTTTATATATTTCTTTATTGAAGACAATGGTATGGAATGCGACTGACGAATTTTGTCATATTTCCTGAAAGTTTCTTATTAGGCACAAAGTGGTCCTATGAATTTGCGTTGAATTTTTGTTGTTATAAGTATTCCTTTTCTTGTTGTTGCGAAAAACTTGCTTTTCTGCTGCACCGATTTCTTTGAAATGCCACATTCTATTTATCATTATTCCATTAACAAGTTGTCGTGTTACTTGATCCATCAATCCTAATTTTAATAAGTTATATATTGTGATCATGAATGGCCAAATCTGAATAATTTACTATATTGAATACATCTGAGATAATAAATTCTGATAACAAATTTCAATATTTATAAATTGGTTATATTTAGTAAAGAAATTGGAGAAGATTAATTTGGTAAATGCAGAATAGATAAATATTATTTTGATTAATTTTTAATTCATCAAATAGATTTGAAGTCTATGTTTTTCTTACCATATTATGCCCCAAATACTCAAAATCATGAACATTTGAATGAAACTGTTCTAATTTATTGTAAATCAAGAATTTATCTTATCAAATGTGGCTAATATTCGAATATTCAAATCATTTTGGGCATTCTGGACCTGACTAGGGGGCGCTCCAGGTGTATGTGTATCAATATGGAGGTAACTGATTTTTTTCGCCTACTTCACATCAAGTTGTGTAAACGGACTGAAATATTCACTTGGCTAACACAGACAGTCCCGAACTCGTAATAAAACTAAAATAAGGAAAATCTGAATAAAAGTATTGCCTAACCCTAACCTGGTACATATACTACAGGAGTACAGACTGAGGTATGTGTGTTGCCACCTTTCATATTACACAACACCATAAGCTTCCTATTTCAATTTTGTATTGCAGGTAAACATTGCATATCAACATGCATCGACAACCTACGACGTTCCATGCACAGTTCGATGAAAAGTGCTACGAGTGATGCACAAGAGATATCACTCAGCACAGAGGGTGAAATTTCAGATCTAGATCTGGTCGATGCTCTCGTAAGCATAATGAGATTCGTCAGAGACACAGCCGACGTCACACAAATGATTTTAGAGGATTTTCGACAATGCAATGGCTACGGTTTCTTGACTGAATTTTTATTGAGGTTGGTGATTTATTCAATCAGTGAACTATTCTAAAGTGTTGATATATTTTGATTATAGCATAATATAGCATAAATGGATTTTCCTTTCATTTTCTCGTTTTAACCTTCACCTTGAGCAAGGCTCTATGTCATAACCATTTTTCGCAAAGTGTTTGCTAGGCTACTAAGAGTAAGATAAAATAATCAGCAGAAAATACAATGCAATCTACAAGTCTAGGCAAAGGATTTTCATGTTTATCCTGGGATTGAGGAGTGGTGATAAGGCATTTGTATAATGAACCATGGCCTTTTGGCCCGGTTTTGTCCATTTCGGGTATGGAAATAATTAACCATGTGCATGGATATGATGGTGGAGGAAGCCATATCCAACCAGCAATTATATGAAACTGCTTCAGATGGCGAGGAGTCTTGCATTCCTTTAACACAGTGGTTCCCAAACCTAGTCCATGTACAGCATGCATGACGATTAATATGCATGTTTGCGGGCATTTCCGACTCGCGAATATCCTTCTGCCTTTAATTTTGGCCTTCGGTCAATTACCTTTGGGAACCACTGCTCAAGCATATAATTATCCCTCACAGGATTCGAACCTGAGAGGATATAATTTTTCTCATTTTTCAAGCTTCATGATTCTAATTGCCAATGCATTTGCAGATTGGAACTTTTAGCCGAAGGAAGTGAAAATCACAGAGAAGGCGTACGAAGTATTGTCAGTAATTTAGAAATTTTAACGACATCTGGTTTCGTGGAGTTAAATCCAGGCCCTGCTGTTCAAGCTTCTCCTTTTCAAGCTCATTTTGAGGTCCCTGAACCTGTTGGAAAAGGTTTGTTAACAGTGGTTTTGAAATTTTTGTAATTGCCCAGCAAATATATTATATTCTGTTGCAACAACATTTATGACAACTCTTGAGCCATTTAATAGAAAATTCATTAAACATACTGTACTTTACATTGATTAGCTTATATAGCATCATAATCTGGTCGAAAAATGTGGTGGAAAAAGTTGAGTGAGGGCTGCCGGTAATTTGAAAATGGATAACTAGGTACATCGTGCACACAATTGAGTTTCTGATATTTATGGTTCCCTCGTGGCACTCCTAAAACAAAATTTATGCTGTTTTTCGTTTTATATGTAGTATTTTAAAAACAGTTTTTAATAATTTATTTTCATTCTTGAGTTGGGCTCCACTCCTTTAATTAATTATCTTTAGTGTTTCAATATTAGTGTTTCGTTATAAAAGGGCAAAACTAGTGCGAGGCTAAACAGAGTTAATTTTAAATTCAGAATTTAGGCTGTATTGTTTAAAAGTATACAAAAATGAAATCATGATTTAAATTTCAAATCAATATACTGATTTTCTATTTTTCAGGGGCGAGTGTTCGCAATCTTCAAGCTTTCCAAGTTTTAGAACAGGCTTTCATTCGTGGTAGAACGAGCCTATTATGTCTTGGTGTTTTAGACGGAATTTTGAATGTTTATAGAAGAGATCCCGCTAACTATTTTATTCTGGCTGGGCAACACACACTGTCAACTTTTGCGGAACCATTGTTGGAAAAGAGATTTGATGTTTTATCCAAGTATGTTGTTATTATTGGGTGAATGATTGTTGTATTTAGCTGTACAACTTAGTATGAAATTATAAAATTTTTTGCTGCCTTGCTAAATTTTACTCACACATTATAAGGGGTAGGGTCTGGAACATTGAAATTTTCTGTTCTACCCATTGTCAACGGACTACAATAGCCTATATATTGTCGTATGCTTGGTACATATGTTACATCTAATCATCAAATCAGTTTGAATAAAATACCAAATATCTCAAGTAAGTTGCATATCTCATAAGACTTACCAAGTGAACAAATTAGGCTTTTTCATAATATTCCAGTTTTAACCTCAAAGAACAACCGGACAAAACTTTTTAGCGCCATAGCATAACAAGCGTAATTGCTCTTTACCGTGCGTAAATTGTGGTGAACTGTTCAATCTAACAGCAGCGGTACCCCAGTCAATTTTGGTCCGGTTATTAATAGCCGAAGTGTTTTGACCGTACCTCCTATCCCTAATACCCGGTAAAATTGGGTCTCCCTTTGCACAGATGGATAGATGATGTTCCATATTGTTCGATTTACCTTATGTTACTTTTTTATTGCTTCAAGATTGATTTTATTTTATTAGTTAACCTAGTTTCCATACTCATCAATTATGCTTTTTATTGATCTGTTGTATTGTAGAAAGCTACCATTATTATACTCAATTTACATTTTCCTGCTTTCTCAAATTTAGGAAATTTGTCATAATTTGAATGTTACTTTATGTCTTTGAATATATGGAACAAATTGATTATTAATGTATTTTCAGTAACCATATTGAACAAATTTAATCAGCATTATTGATTAGAATAAATAATACATATTCAGGTTCAAAAGTGCATAAATCAAATATTCGAACTGATTTGAAATTAGTTATATTCAATATTTTCAATTCTTGATCAAAGGGTTAATATAGAATATTATCATTTACATATTTTCACAAGATCAATGCTTAAATATATATGGATATGAAGGCCAAACCCTGTAGTATCAAATAGTTTTTTTAGTACCTGTGTAGTGAATACCAGATCACGAAACCACGGCACAGTGCATGATTTTCAATTTTGATAACAACATCACACAAAACTTTGAAAAACTAATCCCACAGAGCCCACAGACATTATTATTGAAATAAATAAAAGTTCTAGCGATGCCGATAACAACAAGTTTACCCGATGTAAATTAAAATTCAAAGCAATTATTCTTGTAGTTGTAGAGATAGCATTTTTTGCACAACAACAACATCATAACAAGCCGATCCATAGATAGGTCCACTTCGTGTCTAGGAGTGGGCAAAATCGAATATTTTTTTCGAATCGAATAATTCGAATATTTTTATCGAATACCGAATAGTCGAATAACGAATATTTTCTATACACAACAGGAGGTCCAGAACGTCGGTCGATACTCCCTTTGGAAATTAATCGTCTTTGAAAAATCGTCTACAAAGCGTTTTTTTACTGGTTTATTTCGTCATAATCGCTGATTGTTTTTGTCACCGTGACCGTTTTTGTGGTGATATATAATCTATATTACCGTCCTTTCTGTTTTTGCAAGAATAAATTCTTTCGGGTCAGCGGACATCGAAGTTTATATTTCGGGTTTACCCGTGCGTTCACGTCGGCAACAGCAGTTTAAACCATTAAGGATTGATTTCAAAACCTAAATTAATATCATTCTGATTTTTATCATTTGCGTTGGCCTTCATATTACTTGTCGACGTTTGTAAATTGACCGTGACAATATTAAGCGAACGGTAATCTTATTATCGATACCGGGATGCAGATATTCAAGACAATACCGTAATTAACTTTGCTATGCTCTTCTATGGTGTCCTTGTTACTTTACAGATAAAACACGCAAAGCTACGATTGCTGAAAAAAATGCGCTTTTGTGCCTAATAGATGGCCAGGCGCTAATTATAACTAACTCTTTCAAGTTCCGACGTTTTCTTTCAACAAACCCCGCGATCATTATAGCTAATATCGTTACCGAGTACTTCACAATTTTATTTACGGAATTCGCAAATTCACTTTTACTTGACGATTTTGATAATGTCACGCCCTATTTATTAGTGCAAAATGCTCAAAATATAACGAATGTAATCATTTCCGATGATACAACAATTCGTAAACGAGACAGTGCGCGTTGTTACATATAATTTCACAATTGGTTTTACTCCTGTTCCCTATTTCTACACTCCACCCGCCATGCATGCCCGAGTGAAATGTTTACATTCTCGAAATATACTTGGTCAAGAATAAAAGTGATCACTAAAGAATAATTTGAAAGTACATTAAAAGAACTATATCCTGTCATTTCTTTTCTGGTCATAGCTTGTTCGTGTTATACTATATATGGTTTCATGCGAAAGTTATTTCAACTTTTAATTTTCGTTAAACAAATTTATGTTTGGTTCATGCATGAAACGGCGAATCACGTGCCGCCAATCATACGGAGTTTAAAATCTGGAATATTTATTCTAAATATCTCATCTGATTTGACGTTTCTAAATTTAGGAAACGGTGTCGGTACCTTTTTTTGCAAAACAGGGAATTGAAATGAACGATTGAAACGCAAAGAAAACAAATTACACCACCACGATTTTTCAAATTTGTCGTTTTTGTCTGTTAGCGAGCGTTGTAGGTGAATTCTCGCGCAATTCACGATCGGTTCAGAGACGTTCTGTGTCCAAGGGAAGCGGCGCAGATCACGTGGTACCCGATATTCGAATAGTAAAATGCCATTCGAATAATTTAATATTCGATTCGCTATTCGTTATTCGAATATTTTGCCCAGCCCTATTCGTGTCCAACAATAATTTTATGCATTCCAAGTCTTAGATTTGAAAAAAAAGACCTTCATTTAATTTCTTAATTCTGCAAAAAATAAAAATTCAATAGATTCATTTTCTTTCCTGCTTTTGCAAATTGTAATTCATTTGAATATCTATTACTAACTTCTATGTGTTATTGACAAAAATGGGGCAAAGAAATAATAAGAAAATTTCCCTTTTTCTAACTTGAATAGACTTTGTTAAACCAATGTATAATTGCTTGTTGACTTCTACTTTTGTATTGATTTTCCAGGTATTTTTCTCTACTTGAATTTGTTGCACTTGAATTGTCGTTCGTTCCATGCAAAGAACTAGTCAGTCTCACTCTTATACTGAAGGATGACAGGTAAAACTTTAGTAGTGGAAGTTTTTATGTCATAGTCTGTAAACATTATCAGATCAGAATTCAGGGGTTCCCAAACTAAATTCTTAATAGATTTGAAATTAGTTATATTCATTTGTAAAAATTTCTGATTTCAGGAATAATTTTGAGTAGCTTTTTTTGAAAATTGTCATTTTGACCAATTTAAAACCAGGAAAAGGTCATTACCGATTAACTAAAAAACTATTGGAATATTTGCTTATTTAATTAACAATATCTCTGTTTTCAAATATATTCAAACTTTTGAAAAATAGGTGAATGCTTTATAATTTTCTTCAAATAGGTCGCTACAATGCAGTATTGCTTGTGTTGAAAGTCTTCGTAAGATAATTGCTTCTAATTCCAAGTTATACAGAGAAGTCTACCGAGAAGTTGGAGTTTTAGAAGTACTCGTGACATGCCTACATAAGTAAGCCATTATTACAGATGGTCAGGGGGGGGGGTAAAATTTCTAATTGCTAAGTTTAATCGTTTAAGCTAGCGGGTCTAATGTATGATACTAAATACAGGGGGGCCGACCCTTAAATCCCACCCTCCTGGCTACGCTCTCGTTGATAATTAATAATGTTGTTACTCCTACTTTTATGATCAGTGAACCCCTTCCTAAAATCCTTCCCTCCTCTACTATAAAAATACCTAGTTTTGTTTTTAAAAGATTTCCTTCTTTACCAATGATACAAAGTATAAAATAAGAATACTATTTATTACAGTAATTCAATGATTTCTTTTCTTTGTAGTATTTTCTGTTATTTATTTTTGGTTGTTCAATTTTGTTCAGGTACGCAGCAGTTTTAAAAAGTTCAGACGAATTAGAGGAAAGTCGAACAAGACTCGGACAATTGAGCATGGAACTTCTTGCCGAGTTGCTGAAAAACTGTCCTGCAAATGCTGGTGTGAAAAAAATCGAATTCGTTTTTGTTCATGTTTTAAATGGCTTATTTGGTTTAAACTATAAAATATGAAATTTTTTTGTATAATATGTTTTCTCAAATCATGTGGAAAATTTTTAACTTTGGAAGTAACAAAATCAAAACTTTGGCCGTTTTCAATCTCTATTTTGGTTCCAGTCATCCTTTTTCAATTGACTGTCGGTGTCGAGAACGTTTGGTAAGCTTGATGCTTTCTGCAATGTCATCATAGGTAATTCTAACGCTTGAAGCATAGGGCCAACGTGGCGGCTCCTCATTTTTAATCAATCGCTTTTATAATTACAGGTGTTTTTCGGGAAACTGGAGGTGCGCGGTGTGCCCACAATCTCGTACCGTTCTCTGAAAGTAGATCTCGTGCTTTAAATATTGTGGAAACACTGATTCTTCAACCACCTGGTTCATCCAGTGATGATGATGACATGGGGACTTTACTTGGGTTATTAAGCACTGTTCCACCTAAAGATCTCATTCTGAAAACTGATATTTTGAAGTCACTTCTCAAGGTGATTAGAAAATATTATAAAGGGTATTTTTTGAGTGAGACTCGTAACTGACTCGGTGAAAGCCCTCGCACCTCGCTTGCAACAAAACTTTCTCCATTTGAGACCAATACTACTGTCAGGTTTCACATACGTGGATGCAGAAAAAGGTTGAAACAGGCCTTCGAAAACTCAGTTTTCGGTCTCGGAGGGGAGGGGACACGATGCAGTCCTTTGGGGTGATTAGCAAAGACCATCCACCAGATACTTTTCTTAAAATTTGGCTTTCGACTTGGTGGGGCCACGGTTTGGTCCTCTGTGGGCCATGAGTAGCATTCACGTTGACTACATTCATTTAAAATAAATTAGGATTTGATGAAATTTTCGTTAACTAAGCATTTCAGCAATTATTCAAACAAAACAACTAGTGGAAACTAGTTTAAAGGCAAGCGAGGTATATTTATTAAAAAAGAAAAATAATACTATTGAATGGCAAGAGGAACAAGGATCATAAAAGTTTGAGAACCACACAATTGCACAGCTCCATGTTCAATAGTAGTATTTTTCGTCAAATTGTAATTGTGTTTTCAATTACAGGTTATTACTGAAAGTCGTGATGCAAGAATAGTATTTCGTAAAGTTGGAGGATTCATCAATGTCATTTCAGTATTGGTATCTGTGGAAGGTAATGTTCTTTATTTCTCTTCATTCATACATCCTAAAAAATTACCCCCGTCCTTTGCGTTTTCGGTATCCATTCATTTTTTTTACTTTACGAGATAAACTATCCTATTATATGTTGGCTTCTAATTAGTACTTCAATCTAGACCTCTAACACAAAATGAGAGTGAAGTAACCTAATGTTCCCAATTAATCTTCATTTTCCAATATTCATAATCTGAAGGAATTAGGAATAACAATAACTTTTCGAATATTCAAAAATAGTTAAGATAATTGCACATGTACGTCATTGCATTGGGTTTCCGTTAGATTAATAAAAAACCTAGTATGCATATAGCAATGTTCGCTTATTGTTTCAGCCCAATAGTTGTCAATTGAAGAAAATTTGCATTTGCAATGTTTTTTGTACTAGGGTTTAGGGAATGTAGGGATGCCCAAACGACTCGAATATTCGAACACATTCGGAATTTATTATATTTGATATAAAAAGTTTTTGATTTAGGAATAATTTAGAATATTTGTATTTGAAAATTATGCATTTTGGGCCGCCGGACAAGCAGATCCGAACATATAATATTATATCTCAACTGGCAACATACAACACAGAGAAAATATATTTATGTCGATTTAGATGTTACTAGTTGAGATGAAGATTCATGTAATTTCCAACGCAAATTTGTCACCAGTTTAAAATGTATAGAAAATATTTTCTCTGAATATATTCGGAATAGTGAAATATTCGGTTTTGACCATCCCAGGATACTAGTATATATTTTGAGATTGCCGTTAATTAATTAATTTAATTCATTTTTATACAAGGTTGCTTGGAAGATCCTCCCGTTGGTTTATGGGCAGCATTACAACTACACGATATATTGAAATTACTTGAAGTTACATTCCAAACACTGTGCGTCGCTCTCAGATTGCCTTCAAATAAAAGATTTTTTCATGCAGAGGTATTTCATAATATTTTGATATACCGTATTTTATAAGTGTTTCAAGAAACGGGAAATGCAGAATATTGAATCCAGGAGATTCGAATCCAAAATATTTAAATCTGAGATCATTTGCTCAGCGGTGCCATGAAAATCAAAAAAATTTGACTGAAGTTATCATACATGTTAAAGGTGTGTGCTCGAGAATAGCAATCTTTAGAGCAAAAGGGATATAAATACATTCAATATAAAATAAAAATACCCGTATCTGAAATATGAACGCTAATTAATAATAACTGCTGATTCAGAAGTATTCCCAATTTTTTGTTTCCCACCATTCACTATCGAAGTGTAAAATGTAGGTTTAAATTTAAAATATCAGTATTTAATGATTACGAAAAATTTTGTACAATTCAAGTTGAAAGTAATAAATGGCTGAATCTTCTTCATTAATCTTCAATAATAATCACGTTTTTTTTTAAATACAAATTCTGGAATCGATTTGAGTATTCTGGCGAGAGTCTACTGTGACAAATTGCACACTTGTACTACTTCGTTTTGGCCTTTGTGTTCATGTATTTGAGCATTGCTATCTTGTTCTTTTTTTTTGAGACTAGAATATTTGTAATATTTTCAGGTTCAATTTGAAAGCTTACGTAGTGCTGTAAGATATCTTGGTTGTTTTACTGATGACTGTGAAGTGGATAAACTGATTGCAAAGGGAGAAAAGGAAACTGACAATGCTACCAATACAAATGAGACACTATCAGATCTCAAACCATCAGATTTGCCACTAATCACTTCATCTCTAGGGTTTCTGGACCCGATTAGCTTGCTGTCTTCTTCTCTTCCGAGCAGTGAGGAGAGTCATCAAATATGGACCAATAATTGTGTCAGTGTACTCTCAGTATTTCGATTCCTCTACCTTCTTGCAACGGATTCGTTTAAAGATGAAGTGTTATGTAAGATTTTACAATTGGAGGATCAAAAGTCATCTTCAACAACGTAAGTCATTGAGAATATTATGATTTTTAGAATTAGGCTTGTCTCTGGTTACTTGTTCAATGTCCAAAATATGATTACCGAACCGAATGTAAAAGTTTATGGTTCTTCCAAAATTTGTAGCTTCCACATATCAGTTGATTCCTATACAGAGCCTTCATCGGAGCTCAAGAGGTGAATAAGCATCATATAACTGACAAAAATTTCATTAAGCCTATCCTATTTTTTTATTGTTTTACAGAACATCACCAGATTCTATCAGCAGTAAATCATCACCTTCCCACGATTATCATCATAAAAATATTCAGCATTGTCATCATTCGTTAGTTATTGATATTATGATGTTACTCGTTCCTGTTATTCCTGCTCGACCATCAAGACAAGTGAGTTGATTGATTGAGTGAGTTAGTAGAGTGAGTGATTATTTGTCTCATTTGCCAAAAAATTGGAATATTGCTGCAAATGATCAAATTGCAGAATTCCTAGTCTTGGGATTCGAATTCGAACCCTTTCAAAAATGGATTATGTCCCTTACTTTTAAATTGTGGATTTAAAAAATAATTTACTATGCTTTCCTCTCAAAAAACGATCATTTTGAAGAATTTAAAATTCATGATATGATCATAAATTCTTTTATTTTATTTTTTGGAAACAGAAAACTAGTGAACCAATCAAATCATTGATAATCGTTCATGCATTTCCAGCTTTAAACTTTGTTGAACCATACACAAGCTTTAAATAATATTAATTAGTCTATATTTTTAAAATAGCATTTTGAAAGGTATCTGGATTAGTAGATCATTTGTACATCCATAATCATTTCCACTTTCACCTTTACTAGATCTTTATAATTTGAGTTTTTGAATTTTTATGTGTGCGCTTTCGAACCTAATTTTAGTAATATAAGAAAGCAATGCTCAGATTTATAGACTTGAGATATCTAGTGCCTCGCCGCAGTTGTGGGAGCGGCTTGCCTAGAAATAGTTATTTGATCATTTAAAATTCATCACGATACCAATTCACAACGGTCACCTAGCTGTGCACATCGGTACCAGTAAGGTCTCAAAATGCTACTTAGGGATGCAGTATTCATAAAAATAGCAAAATTTTGGGTTAAATATTTCATTTCTCAATAACGTCAAGAACTTAACAAAACAATCTATATGTATGTGTCCAATGAAACCTTCATTTTTTAACATTTTTGCTCAATTTTTTGTCTTTGTTCAGATGCAGATTGATTTGCAGTATTACATTTTGGAACAAATCAATTCGCTTTTAAATTTGGAGAGGAACGAGCAGATACTGTGCAAAAGTGGTTTGCTCTCAACTCTTCTCAGAAACTACTCAGATATTTTATGTGATGATTCTCATCCACTTAATTCAGCTATACAAAGAATAATGGAACGACTTGCTACTCAGACTGTTTCTCCAAGAGAGTTAAGGTTTGTGATCTTTTAGTACAGAAGGGCCATATACAAATGACTGGGTGAACTGCGGGTGGCTCTTCATTTATTATTTTCTTTCATGGCTGCATTTTACCCGCGGGCCGCACATTGCACACCCCTGTTTGAGTATTTTTCCAAAAGAAGTGAAACTAACTCATTACTGAGTGCATAATGGGAATTCAGCTCTTTTGTAGCGGAATTCAACCATAAAAATTTGTGTAACAGTTTTATCAAGCGAAACGGATAGTGATGACGGTGGTTCTCAAACTTTCATGATATGTGGGCTCCCTTCTAAAGAATCTCAACCCTTGCATACGCTTGGTAGTACCTACCGATCATTGCTGATCCAGAATCTGTCTTGAATAGATCTGCGGTTCAAATAAAGTTATCTTGGGTCTTGGTCCATTCTTATATGGTTTTATTAATCTGTATAAAGTTATCCTGGTGAAATCCAGAAATTTCTTTGAACTCAACTTTTCATAGCGGTTGATGCATCAATCATAGCTAAGGAGTAAGGTGTTAGGATAATATTCGACATAACACCTCTGATTAGCCTGGATGGGTTCGCAGGTTCAAATCTTCTGGAGATAAATATTTGCGCGGGGATTGCTGGACTCCTCTTAGGCGTAGGGGCACTGGTTGATTACGGCTTCCTCTATCATCAAGTCCATGTATCTGAACCAAATGACTGGTTAAATATTTTCATACCGAACATGGACTGGGAACCAGACTAGTGCCATGCTTCACCATATGCCACCTTATTGCCTCTCCTGTCAGCCGGGATAAAATTAAAATACCATGTCATTTAAATATTTTCTATTTGACTAACAGGCAGTAAACCTTTGTATTATTAAATACAGGGATTTTCTCAGAATTGGCGATCCATTACATTGCAAAGATGAATTCATAAGCAATGGTACAATCAGTCTATCAAGAGTGAAAAATCTGGTATCGATGTCAACACCACGAAACATGGGATTTCAAGAAGATGGTGCTGTCAATTATTTCAATCTGCCTGGATTTATCGAGTTTGATATGAATAGACAGGTGAGATATGTTGTGTTCGTTATTTCTAGTGCTTCAATTTTGGTGATATCACTATACGAACTTGGTTAAATGAAATATAGGATTTCTTTATAAGAGAAATTCCTAAAAACTGACAGCCACTAATTTCCCTCCACAAAATTTGTGCTATATTTATGGCAGATAAATTGCATGTTTCTTCACATAGGTTTGTGTTCAGCATTCTGAAAGTACAGTATACCCAACTTATGCATTACGAGATTAATAGTCAGAAACACTTCTTATAACTTTTGCATTTCTGGGTTTATATCCATGGAAATAAGCCAAGTATATTATTATACTATTCTAATAACTATTTTACATTTCATGTACTCATGTTATGTGTGGGTTCTTTCACAGTTCACACCATCCAAGTTCATAAATCTGTACTGTTAAATTAAATTAGTTAGCCGTCTGAACCCAACTTGACGAGAAACCATCGTGTCCATATGATTAAGTTATGGAACACGATTGTCTTATCTGTCCTGACCTATGGGTCTTTTTGTTATTAGGTTTTTGTTGTACAAAAATAGATTAAATAGATTATTCAACTACTGGACCAATTGCTTCGAAATTTCCAGTGATTAAAGCTTGTTATTGTCTCTGAAGGCTATCATTTTTATTTTTTCGAAAATTTCTGTGGGCTCTTATGGGATTTGTTTTTCACTTTCAAAAACTTTCTGTGATGACCTCATCAAAATTAAAAATTGCGTGCCATGGTTCCATGATAACATCTCAGTTATGTGGTGGTCAGACTACCAGTAATGTAAAAGGTTTGATACAACCTCACCCATGTAAGGACAACCATTGCCTTGGCCTTCATGCCAAAGTATTTCAGCATAGCTTCCTTGCTTTATAAACTTTTCTTCTTTGTCAATGTGAATTACCATACAATTTTCTGTTACAACTTTATTTGGAGTTTTCGATTGCTTAAATTTATCTTGAATTGTGTTTTTACAACAGGGTTGCAGCTATCTCTTTATTCCAAGTTTGTTTCCTCAAGCTGCTTACACCAGTTCAGTTGTCGGACAGACAGACGCAAGCATCATTTCTGGAATTGGAATAGGTGAGTACAACATATCAGCAATGGTTTCACAATTCAAATATTGCTACATGAGGATGAAAGTTAGCAGTGACTATATTTGGACACAAAATGTACATGGATGGTTTTGTTATTATTTTGTTGTTGGTATTTTTCTTCATATTGTTATGAAAAATCGCCTTTTTCATTAATTACTGGATCAATTTCTTTGAAATTTTCAGTGGTTGGAGATTGTATTTTTCACTAGGAGGCTGTTACTCTTATTTATTTCAAAAATTTCAATGGGTTTTATAGGATTTGTTTTTTGTGTGCGATGACGCCATCGAAAATTGCATTGAAAATTGCAAGAATGATATATTTTATATAGTTAAAATCATTTTGTTTAAAGGCAAACTTTCTCACATGGTCATATCAAATTATGAATATTATACATATTTCACACAAAGTAAATATGAACGATATACCCTTCTTCTCTCTGGATTAAAATATGTAAAGTTGTTTTGGAGTTTTCTAAACAAATTATCAGAAATACACTAACGCTAAATACAACCATTTCAACTTATTATAGTATGACGTTATCACTTATCACCATTGAAAACTAATGTGTCACACATTGTTGTTCTCAAATATTCAATCAACCATAAAACAGTTTTTACGTTAGTTACCATTCATGCTATATGTAATATTGGTTTAAAGTGTGTGACTAATAGACAATAACAATAATATCATAATGGGATACAAGTGGGCAAATACCTTCAATATTCCCTTCTTTTTCTTACACTTTGAAAGTCCATGTCAACTAACATTACCGGTTCTAGGAAAATTCGCCGCTGGAAATCTTGCTGTAGGAAATTTCGCCACATAGGAAAAATCGCTACATGAAAAATCGCCTTATTCATAAAAGATTTGTTATTTAATAAGAGGTTACAAATACTTGTTTTACAGAAAAATGCTCTTTTTTTCCCTATGCGACGAATTTTCCGGACACGAACATTTGATTTCAAATTCCAGTTGCTATACAACAATCGAAGATAACAATTTGAAGTATTTTTTAAATTAGATTTAGTGAAGCGTGGAAAACAAAGGAAAAAGTGCATACAATTTTAGTATGAGAACAAAAACCTTGTTGTCTACCATTATCACATATTGCGAGTATTTTATAAAAATCACACATTTTATTTGTTTCTATAATTTTTCCACAACAATATTTTCATAATAAATAATTCTTATGCAATAGCATAAACAACTTAAAATATTTATGTTCCTATGACATTACAGAGTTTAAAAATAAAAAATTCAGTCTCCCCCATCTTCTAAGAATTTACTTTTCATTTGTGTTTCATGTTTCTAAGCATTCGTTTCATTTTATTATCAAACATAATTCTCAAAACTGAATTGAATTTATTGCATTAAATTAGCTTCATTGCGCAAATACCAATTTTTTCGCAAAGATAAAATGTAGGCCATCACTATAAAAAATGAACACTTTATATTCTTCCTGAATTATCCATCTTTTGACTTAGCTTATTCCTTATGACGCCAACACTGAGATTTGTACCTATAATGTAAGAAGCATTAGACTTAGTTGAACCTCTTGAAGTTACTTGATAGGGGTCAGCTATTATATTATCAGTCAAACGAAAGAAGAATTAAATTGTTAGGATAAGTCATTCCGGTCCGCACTTTACTTGTAAATAACTTACCTCATATCATCAGTTTTACTATATGGAGTCACCAATGGAAAATTCTTGTTCTGAATTCTTCAAATTATGGAATGATACAGGAAATGTACTTCTGTGATATGTACTGTAAACAACCTAATTACAAAGTTATTTTTAATTCTGACAGAATTCTTCAAATGCATTTTATACTATATTTTACAGTGGTCCATACTTGATAGTATAATGTTCGAGGCATTTAAAAATTGTTTCAGGAGTCCTGAGTCTCAGGGATCATATTGTCAACGTGTGTCGTACATGTGATCGTTGTGTGATGATTTGTATGAAATTGACGTATTTTTTCAAATTCAATCTGACCATGCAGCGTTGTATCACGAAATCAACAAGGATTACATTTAATATAAAATGTTAATCAGTTGTCTTACGTAAGCCGGTAACGCTCTCAGTCTCCGTTGGCTTTTATTCAATCGTACCGCACCGACACTCGAAACATGATATCGGTGATAATTGGGGTATTAAGAAAAGACAAGAATAACAAAATGTCGGAGGTCATAAGGAGTTTGTTTTGACACATGTTTCAGATGTCGTCAGTTGTAAATTTTTTTGTAAATGAAACAAGGAAACAGGTGCTCTGTTTGATGCAATACACATTTCTTTGAAGCTTTTTAATGGAAATTACCAACTGACTTTCCAATTTAGTTTCAACTCGGTCTAATATTTTATTATACCTCCCAAATTTAATTCTTTTTTCCAAGTATTAATTTCTACTTGATTGCTATAATAAATAAACTTACACATTTTGTATAGCTAATTTTTCTATTTAAACACTTGAAACATAGTCTTTTTATAACATTTGTTCTGTTTAGATCTTACACAAATTTTTTTGTTGTATATAAAAATATCAAAGTTCTTATTCCTCTAATATGTGAGGTAATATTTTGCTCTTGACCCGGTGTTATGAGTTAAAATGTTAATTGGTGTTGTTAATCCCATTGACGTCAGAAAAAATTAATCTTAATTTAGATTGGATATATATCAATTACTTGTGTTGAGATTTTTCTGATTATTTTGGCTATTTCTGCTCAAAATTGTTTATATACATACACACTGGTGTTTACTTTTAATTTCATCATCAACGAATCTAAATTGGGAATGTTTTAAAATATTCCATCAGCTCTTAAACACATGCTATGTATGAAGTAATCCATATGTTTCAATTAGAAAAAATCTCCTGTCAAAACATGGTTTTTAAATGATGAGGGTCGGATTGTATCTTTGTTTCTGAAACATCTGGTTAAGCATGTTTTTCATTGAAAAGTTTCAAACGTCATTCGGCTAATTCTGTGGTAAAAGATGATCTCTGACGCAGTCACCGAATCTTTTTGTGTTTGTAGCGAAATGACGTTTGCTTCACCCACTCTGAGGTTTTTATGCTTCGGTAATTCAATATCTTAATCTCTAGTGATGGATTATATAAGTCACCTCCTTGAACAAACCGTAAACAACCCAAAAAGTATATAAGTAAGAAAAGAGTGTGTATGCTTTATAACACTTCAATGTACCGAGCAAACGTGTATCTTTTTTGATACTGTCGCTACATTTCTAATCCTGACCGTTTAACCATTTTTGGTTGCCTTATAACGAAGCCAAAATTGGCTGAATTATAACAAAAGTATCCATGAAGAAAAAAAGAAGCCGCTTTCGAACAACAATGAGCTTGCTGCAGGATTTTGTCTACTCTTGCATTTAATTGCTTCAAGGTAACAATTTTTCTTTTTTCAAATTTTTTTATTGTTTAAACTTTTTTCAAAACTAAATATTCTTATCAATTATTTCAGAATCCTGATGTTGGACTCAAAATATAAGACATGACAAGAAGGTCTTGGCTATTCCAGCTGTGTTAACTCAGCAGAGACCGTGAAAAGATCTGCAAGATTTGTTCGTACAAATATCGAGCACTTTTCTCCTACGAAAGCCATAAGAAAAATGGCCGATATAGCAATGAACTTGACAATGTCACCTCTGATGACTATTCTGTTAATTCTTTTTAATGAAAAACAAATGAAAACATTTTTCAGGCTTTCGAAATTGAAGGTGTATGTAAATAAAATTACAATGTATATTGACAAGTGATCATTTGTGATAAATGATCTAGTATAATAATAGGATATCGTTAATTTTGTTTTATAGTTTGACAATTGTGTTGTACCCATTTTACAACAAGCTATATTTACATATTTGTAAATATATATGGAAGCCAGCAAGTATAATACTAATAGAATACATATAACGGTAATTATGACTAGATTAGAAATGCGCCTTTAGTAGTTCAGTAGCAAAATTCATTCAAAAAAGACAATGTGTGGTGAAATAAATAATCATTGCATATATAATGTATATCAACGTAAGAATTACTTTTAGGTGTTTGAGTAGCTTTCTTTTTTTTATTTTTCAAAAATTTACCCCACAATGTGATAGATTTTTTTTGTATGCCTCCAACTTATTTAACATATTTTCCTGTCAACGTATCTCGTGGCACTTCAGTGAACTTGTACACACCAATACAGTATACTGCTGTTGTGTAATACTATCATGTTTTACTTACTTTTGATATTATGACCAAATTCAGTGTTACTGAAATTTTAAATTTTTAGATTGCATGTATTCCTCATTATAATCGAAGTTTTCATTGTTAATCCTTATTTTCAAGACGCTACTGCATTGAAGTAATGCTTCCATAAACTGCTATGTTCTTTTTTTAATAACTATCTTCATGTACATGGTATTGCAATTAACACATGCTTGCTGACGTATCAAGAAATTCTTGTTGCTGAAAGAAGTATAAGAAATATAAAAACTTGAAATTGAAATGCATATCGGGGTCTGGGGTGTGTTGTGTTTTCGGTTGGGGCAGTTTTGTCAAGAAATTTGAAAAGACAATCTTTCAGGCCATTTGTTATGGCTCAATATATTTTAAAAAATAAATTATATCTTACTTACAAATAGTCAAAGGAAACTCCACGAATTGATGTGGCAAGAATATTCTGAAAGGATACCATAGTTGTGATTTTGTCATTCTACTTCTCAGATTGGAAACACTTTCGGTTTTTGAACTGATCTTACATACAGTATCACTTAAATCAGATATTAAATAAAACAAATCGGAAATACATTTTTATGTCTACAAACACATTAAGAACAAAGCTTAAATTATATTTGAGGACTCAAACCTCAAACCAGATCTAGTGTTTAGCTTTAAAAGAGATGTTCAAAAATTAGTGCCTGATATATTTAATTTATGTTTTCAACAACATAATTTTAGACATTATTACTTTTTAAATATAATCACAATAGATGCCATAGAATATAGATAATCACAAATACCAATGCCATTCACAGGAAACTCCAACTTGAACAGCACAAATAAGTAAAACAATAAACCAAAGAATCCATCAATATGATACATGGAGTAATTCAAGCCAAAATTCTTGTGAAAATTTAGGAATATGTATTAGCACCCGTATTTGACTCATATAATCCATTAATAGGCATATAATATAATTATGAAGTTTTCTACAAATAGGTATTAGGATGTTGAAAAAAGGCAAACAAGGGAAAAAAGGGAAATTACAATACTTCTGACTGAAATAACACAATTTTTTTTTAATATTTTAAATTTAATCAAAAGCAAAAGCTGTGATACTTCTCACATATACAATCACTATTGAGCAACACTTTAATGTAAAATATAAAATAAACATTATAAATTTACGAAAAAATTAAAGCAGTAATTTTTAAGTAAGCGACATAAGATGATTTTCAGGTGACTCAGTTGTGGGTCACGACCCATAGGTTGGGGAAACACTGCTCTAACCTGCAAGTCTGTTACATCATAATACCTATGTATCTAGAATGTTATACCTGGCTTTAACTTAGTTCAAAAAGGGCAGGAATACATGCTTCAACATATGATTAAGCATTTTTGATGGTTTACCTCAGATAGATATGAAATGCTTTTTGTGTAAACTAATTTTGATTGTTTTAGGTGAACGTCCTTTTCCACCACCCGCAGGACTTGCAGTATCAGCATGGGTTTATATTGAAAAATTCTGTCCTCATCGACTTCACCCAATCAGACTTCTTACTGTGACAAGAGAGGTGTTGAAAATTATTTTGTATTAATATCAATCTTGGTCAGAAGTTTAACTTTACTCAATATTCATCACTCTTATTCAACACATTCCGCTTGAATTCTAAAGACACGCTTTCGGAAAGTTTAATTTTTCAGTCTTTGAAATCATAGCCCATAACTGTTTTCTGAGCATGTTTACTCGGCTTCTTGAAGTCTTACGGTAAAACCGGCATTTTTTGGTTCATAATGCACCACCATTTATTCTATATAGTTTCAGTACCTCTCGGCGCTTGGGTTGTTTCTGTGAATTTACTCAAAGCCGAGTCCCCTCTACTCCTGTGTGAGTGGAAATGATCTTGTTTTTAGCAAATTCTGTTACTAATATATGTATTCCGATAATTTTACTTCCTTTTTTGAGAATTTATTATTTTGTAGGACAGTAATTTTTTGTGAAATTTTTCATTCAAAATATCTTGATTAATTGGATTGAACTACTTGACAATAATTATACTCTGTTTTTACTTCATATATATTGCAATTTAAATTTGAATTTTTTGTTTTTAAGGTTAATATTAATAATTCGCAAGTGCAATATACATGCCTGTCAATTCACATCACTGCTAAAGATAAGAATATAATCATTTCAACACAAGAAGAAAACTTTGAACATATGGGTATAATAAACAATTTTTATCTTTGGATTATCAGTTGTTCAAAAGTTAATTTTAATTGTTTTTCATGGTTAGACCAGACGTGAAAATGCTAAAATCTCACTCTTGCTTATACTGATGACTCGAGGTTGACAAAAATTTTGACTCTTTGCTACAAATTTCATGCCGAGAAAAAAATTTGAACCAAAAAGAGAAAAAATTTCAGACCTGGGGTGTTTGAAAATACAACTCCGACTCTAGAACCAATAAAAAAAAGGCCAAACGCCGACTTCGGCTTCACAACCGCGGGCTCAGATCGGCCAGCCTATTGATTTTGCATATTACAAACTTAAGCAGCTTTCTGCATTCCTGCTTGTACAATGACTTAGTCAGGGCAATGATCAAAAAATATAATGGATGCCTTTGGACAGCAACTTATATGGAAGTTAACGTGATCACTGTCTGTTGCAGTTTTTTAGGTTTAAAACTTTTTTTTGTATAAGCAAATAAATCAATGCAATTAGAATTATGCTTCTTAACCTCAACTCACCCTATTGTAGGGGTAAATATGTAAATATTTATGTTTGCACTATTTCACAAGGTAATGATTTTAAACTTAATTCCACAGGTCCAGGTGATATAGAAATTGGGAACGAATTGATTTCAGCATCTGCAGTCTTTCCAACAAAAAAATCAATTCATGAGTCACAATGGTATCATATTGTTGTTGTCATCAACAAAGCAACTGTCTTAAAACACAGTACTGCTGCAGCATATTTAAATGGAAGATTGCTTGGGACATCAAAGGTAAAGAAAATCTATTTTTCATACAGGCTAATTAAAGGCAAGGTTTTGAGCTGTTAATCAGTGTTGAGAATGCTCTAGTCTTTTGCTCTACTCTAGTTCGGCTTGAGTCTCCAGTTATTAAAAACTCAATATTGACTCGAGTAATCTAAATGGAAGGACTTGGATTCGTCATCAACGAATCACCAGTAACCTGACTCGATACTCTGATTTCCAGTGACTTGACTTTTTCACGGATTGAGGTTCTATTTCGGTGATAATGGTTTCATTGAACCTCTGCAGTATATTGATTAGAAATAGAGGCCTTGTGCATAATTTAAGGGTTTGCGGAGTTGATAACCAGTAACATTAAATAATGAATAAATATTTGGAGTCATGATTGATGACCAAACACACTTATCTTTAGAAAAGCATCCCGCACAGCGTTTAATATTGCCGTTTCCTTGCCACACAATCAGTCCCACATGTTGTAAACGAACAAAAGTAAACACCGAAATGCGAATTTTCACTACCTAACACAAATAACTATGAGGAATGTATTGTTTTCATTCATTCCCAATTTTTTTTTCCTTTCTAGTTGAGATACATTCACACAAATCCAGGCGGAAATTCAGCTAATTCTGCAATCCAAGTTCGTGCATATGTGGGTACACCACCAAGACTCAGTGCTCGATCTCCTCTACTTTGGCGTCTTGCATCCTTCCACATCGCAGACGATTCGTCATTTGTAACAGCTTCAAGTGTAGCAACTCAATATCAACTTGGACCATCCTACATTGGAAATTTTCAAGCTGTACCTCTGTCTGGTCAGTTTAAAAATATAACACTATTGGCTTTTTCCATCATACACATATCTAAATAATTCAATATAATTGCGTGATGCAAAATGCTGTTGGACAATTTTTTAAACATACGTTCGGAAAATTCTTATCTTGTCATTCATTCAGTTTTGTTTTTCGTCACATTAAAAAATATTTATTGCAATGGTCTTAATGAAAATAGGCTTCAATTGTTCGAAAAGTACATAGCTTCAGCCATATGGAATACAGTATCAATTTTCTTAATAATTCCCGGGAATTTTACAATTTCGAAATAGTTTTTTTCACATTGTTCGTTGTCCGTAATGAGTTCTATTCTTGGAAACCTCTGACAATATCTAGTCTTATAGCAGGGGTAGTGAACCACTGACCCACACACAGGTCACAAAGTGACCCCCCATTCATTCTGTGACCCACCAAGTTGCGAATTGATACAAATAAATATACTAGAATTTCGTTGCTAAAAATTTTCAGATGGAGGTTTTGGACCAGTTTTATCAGAAGAACATCTATGTTTCTCATTACATCCACATGCATGTGAAACATCATCTGGCGCTAGAATTCGGAGACAATGCATGAAGTTTGACAGCAAATCTATTGCAAACGAGGTTAACTAATTACTTTCAAGTGTGAAATTACGATGTACTGGATTTTGTCAAATTAAAAAATTGGACAGGCTAGTTAGTCCACAAGTGTAAAACATTAATATTGTGTATTTCGTTTCTAATATCTATATCAAATGATCCCAGAATTGAACGTTTTTCTTAATTGGTTTTTCATTATTAGCATTATATAGTATATCTCATGGTTTCTTGAGCTGGGCCCTTGGCGCCTCCACAAGGCCACAAGCAAAGACCTTTATGAATACCGCAAAGTTTTTTTTTTTTGATGATTTCATCAATTTAATGTAAATAAATTGTGATTCGTTAAATCTTTGGACTGTAGTGCATTTATTCTTTTTCTTTCATTTTTGTTACTGGACTTTTTGTTGATAAACATGGCTTATAAATAACTGGGATGAAAGAAAACTCTGTATTTTTATACAAGACCAGTGGCAACACGTGCATAGAGTCTCTGCCAGGGGCCATGGGTCATTTAGGTGTACCTTTAATAACATTTTATGAAATATTTCATCTTTAATTATTGAAGGAATGCTGAAACTAAAGAGTAAAACTAGAGAAGGCTGGGTAACATTCATTAAAATAAAAATGACTTGACTTGCTTGTATCTAATCGTTAGCTTTCTAATCATGCCTTAGTATGACTATGTTTTCTTCCTCGTGGAATTACCTGGATTCATGTAGTGGACCAGATTAAAAATCGCCTATACCTGTGGTTCTCAAACTGATGATGATCTTTGACCTCTTTCAAATACTCTCAAATATTTGTAGCCCCCTTACTCTTCTATAAATATACCTATTTTTACTTTTGTCATGTTTCCATCAGTTATTTTATTCACCATGTTTAATAATAAAAAGCCAGCAAATGAAAGCAAAAGAATAAATGCATTACAATCAAAAAATTAAACGAATCACAGTCTTGACAAAATGAAGTTGAATGTTTATGCAATACTTGTAGCATTGTTCTGTCACCTCTCATCAATTTAAAAATAATATTATTATATTTATAAACACCTGCAGCTGAAGTTGGGATTGAATGAGGGTCTTACTCCAATTATTCTGGTCCGTAATTCTTGTTCCCATATGCCTGGCCTTGCAAGATCTGTTGGTGCAGTAGCAGTGTATGATCAAGCATCTGCAGCTGTCAGAAATTTTATGCCAGGACAAGTAGCTAGAGTTCTACAGGTAATGTTTTGACTGTATTTATTTATTGTATGTATATATCAGGACTGGATCAGAGCCTGGTCAAATTCATACAGACAGCAAATTTCGTAAAAAAAAAGACTGGCTAGACGAAAATTTTGACTCAAAACTCCAGACTGAACACTCTGGCTTGACACAAATATTTACTCTGACTTGTCAAAAATTTGGACTTCAGCTCCAGACTGAATACTCTGGCTTGACAAATTTTTACTCTGGCTTGACACAAATTTTTACTCTGGCTTGACAAAAACTTTGACTCCATCTGCAGACTGAAAACTCTGGCTTGACAAAAATTTTGATTTCAGCTCCAGACTGAATACTCTGGCTCGACAAAATTTTTACTCTGGCTTGACACAAATTTTTACTTTGGCGTGACAAAAACTTTGACCCCGGCTACAGACTGAAGACTCTGGCTTGACAAAAATTTTGACTTCGGTTCCAGACTGAAGACTCTGGCTTGACAAAAATTTTGACTTTGGTTCCAGACTGAAGACTCTGGCTTGACAAAAATTTTGACTTCGGCTCCCGACTGAAGACTCAGGCTTAGCAAGAATTGTGACTTCGGCTCCCTACTAAAGACTCTGGCTTGAAAAAAATTTGACTTTGAAATTCTGACTCTGAATCATGGAAAAGGGGATTTTTCAAATATCACGTTATGAATTTATCTTGTAAATATTATTCTTATTTTCTTACCAAATTGATTAATTTGCATGTTTCTTGAAAAAGACTATACATGATAAGTGATTCTGCATGATTACCCTAATTTTTATCAATATTTTTCTGAATTACAGAATGTTGGTGGCAGTGCAGTAATATTAAGTCTAGTTTCTATGGCAACTGATGTTGAAGGTCTATATGCTGCAGTCAAATCATTGGTTTGTATTGTTAAAAACAATCAGGCAGCTGCAAACGAAATGGACAGAAAAAGGGGATATCAGGTAGATATTGAAACTATCATTTTCAACTTTTTTCTTAAAGTTAGTTGTTTGCAGTGTTGACTCTACTCGAGTTACAATTGTTGAAGACTAGAAGTGGCTTGAGTCATCCAAATTGAATAACTTGGACTCGACTCTACTCTTGACTCAAGACTCGGATGGCCTGCGACCTGACTTGACTTGCTACTTCGACTTTATCTACCGGTATTTACTCTGAGTCTAGTTACCCTGTATTCTCGTTTCCCAGCACTGTTTCTACTGTACTTCACTCAATGTTTTCGGTTTGACCCATTTTATTACAACATGGGTGAAGGGTACGAGATTCGAACTCAAGATGTGCATGTATACCCTGCAATGTCAGCAAAGCCAAGGCTAACCATTTTAGGATGGGTTCATATATTTATCCCAGGGAAATGAAAGCCAATAACACGGCTAAATCATATGGCGCACCACAGCCTTATGTCCGGCCCCCAGTCCATATCAGATATAGGATTAGTCAATTATTTGTTATCAATACATGAACTTTAATAACTATCCAGCTTTAAGGCTTTAACCATCGCGCATCTACAATGATTGTCTGTATGAGGAACAATAAAAATTAACATTTCGAGATATATACTACAACATAGTATTTTAGTGGTGTTCAGATAATTCTGAAATTAACAAGACCTTCAATTCTTTTTTCAGGCTCTTGCAATGCATTTGAAAAGAAAGAAAGCTTTGTTAAACTCCCATGTTTTGCATCTGACTTATTCACTCGCTGGTACAGTAGATGTTGGAAGAGAATCTGCAACCATTCCAAATATCACGGCTTTTGAAGATTTATTATGTGATTTGGAGGTTAGTCAAATTTTTTTCCAAATCTATTTGTATCTTGAATTTTCCAATTATGCAGCGAAGCTGTGATTTTTGTTCATTATATTTGCAAACTGATTTTGATTTTAGGTTATTCGAGTTTGATATGATGGATATATTATATTTTGAATTATCATTACAAAATATGCCCTAATTCTCAAATTGTGTATTTGTATTGATTTTGGATAGATAGAGGTATATCTCTCTGAGTAGATATGAAAAAAAATCCTACACTTTGTTTGATTTTTCGGATTTACCCAATTAAAGTAAAATTTTAGTAGGGATATGTCACTATTTACATATTCAGGTATGGCACAATGCTCCTGATGAACTACATCGATCACTGTTGGAACATATTTATGGACTTCTTACTGAATCAAGGTATTCAATATAATACAGTATTATAAAGTGAACTAATTATTATAATGAAGTGAAGATTCTGAACTACAGTTTTGGATTTAATTGGGGTGAAAATTGTAATCAAATAAAAATTCACTATGAAACGCAAAATATTTGAAACCGCTATAATTTTTTTATAGAAAAGCATCCTATTTTATCTAAAATTTTTGATGACTTTTTTGCACAGATATTCTTTATGAAATAACTTTATTGTGTCGTGTGTTTCCATTGTTTCTTCTGTTTTAGTGACACAAATGAGAATTGCAAAATCATAAAAGAACGTGGAATGGTTAAACGTTGTCTTCATTTTGTGCTTGGAGATTCATCCCTCTCTTTAGGAACCATTCGTGCAATATTTCGAATCATTCAAGCATTGCTCAATACTTCCGGAAACCACTCAGATTTGCTTAGGTGGGTAACTTTTGTCGTCCAGTGTGGGCCAAGGTCTCCAAGTGGTTTCAAAACACTGATGCCATAAAATGACCCCATAACAATTTTTCTTATACTTGAAGCCATTAAGACATTTCACAATTTTTTATTCTCGCTTTGAAAGTGTTGTTCACCCATAATATTATTTTGAAATATTCAAGCTGCTTCTATGAAAAATTTTTCAAAGCTAACGTTGTCCCAGCCTAACCCAGCAACAGAGGTGAGCAAGGTTTTCGAACCAGGGGCCAAAAATTTTGCCCACTTATGCCGTCTGAGTGTCATGTAAAAAGTTACATTTTATGAACAATATTTACAGTGTTACAAAATTAAAAGTGGAAAACAATAGGCCTCATGCCAAACCTATATTTAATTGCAATCTCAACAAATTATTTTTTAGCTGAAACATCAAAATTTGGTTTTAGTTTGGTTGTGGCAGCATCAGGCGAGCCAGATTAATTCCCCTTCGGACAGAATCTGGCCCCCGGGCCGTGGTTTGCCCGTGTTAGTTGTATAACCTTATCATCTTTACTAATTGCCCATTGCTATGGTTATATATAAGGAGGGAAAATCTATTGTAATATTAAATAAGCTTTGTCCTTTGTAACATTTGTACAAAGCACATTTATCATTAAATAGATTTGGTCAATTTCTTGTTTCAACTATTCCTCCTCTTGATGAGTATGAAACATCTATAGAGCTGAGTGAACCAGAGACTGATTTCAAGAAATGTACTCCAGTATCGACAAGTGCGGGTGAGTTAGTAATAAGCCTCTCAAAGCTATCATGAACCGTTTTTAGAGAGTGTCTCAAAATCGAGGCTGTGGAGTTGTAGTCGGGGTCGAGTCCTATTTTCAAACTACCAGGAGTCTGAGTCTTAAGTAGATATTTTAAATTCGTAAAAATTTGAATTTTAGACATTTAATGTTGATAATTTGAAGTAAAAATATTTGAGTTGATTTAGTGAGACTTCTAAAAATGATAAAATATCGCGTACATGTATATTATATTGTTCATGTTAAAATGGCAATTTCTGTAGTTTTGCAGTTTTTCGTTATAAATGTTCTCTCGTAATATATGCTTGTTTCACTGTTGTGATAATTAGCGTCATTTTCATCAAACAAAATCAATTCTACAAGGATCAAACTTAAAAAAATAAATGACCTTTGTTAATTTCCAAGGTCATATCAAGAACAAACCATCTTATGCAGGCTTGCTTTCAAAATTCCGGCTCGCGGACACATTCCATGCGGCCCACAGAATAATTTTAGCATGCCCTGAATCATTGGCAATTGTTTGTATTTATTGGCAGAAAATTTTTGAATTATTTTTAAACTATCCTTAAAAGTTATTGCGGCCCACCATCCTTGGACCACCCTGTCTTAATTCTTCACTTTACATTTGTAAATAAAATCTATACCATCCACTGGCAAAATTTGCAGAAATATTTTACACGATAAATTATATAGTATAACCGTCATCTTGGTTCAAAATATTAGACCTTGTGATGTTTTAAGTACTGCTAGCTAAGTTTAGCATAGTCTAGCCAGCTTTATGGGGACTAATTTTTAATACTGCAACTGAGCTAATACTTCTTGGGGACAAAATGCCTATTGAATCAATGACATAAAAACGACAAATGAATAGCTGTGACTAATATTTTATATTCACACTTAAAAATGTCCTTTTTGTGATCGCTATATCTAAAATGGATTTATTTATCCTGCCTGCCCTTTTGAAATAGCACTATTCAGTCTCAACATTTCCCCCTCATCAGCACTGGTAAGTATCTCCAAAACGCATATTTTGCTGGCTTTACTTATTTATTTTATCAAATATGATAATACTGAAATATTAACACATTTTTCTGGGAACATTTTATTTAAATCGAATATACCCATTTTGGTTCTACATTCCTTTTGAGGAAGATTGCAGCTGTACTGTCTATAAATTTTGCCAACTTCACGTCAAGCATTGTGATTCCACCTTTATCAAATGTGTAAAGACCCACTTCAACCTAAGAAAATAGGCAAGATATAAAAAAGAAAACTTTTTTGGAAACACTTATCATTAGAAAAACACTTTTCTTTAGAATACAGAATTTCCTTCTTTATATTTTTTTATTGGATATATAGTGTAATATTTGTTTCCTAAATTGAAGATAGAATCGTAAAAAAACGCTTGTCAGAGTAAAATCATAGATCCCTCATATTCCAAGATCACCAAATTTAGTTTATGTCAAGATTGTTTCGTCTTATTGAAATAGAAATTGTTTTTCATAATTCAGCAAAATTGTTATCCCATACAAACCAAAATTAATGTCTGAGCAAATGTCACGATTTTAACTATATTTGTAAAATTGATGATTGCGTTTTTGTTAATGATATCATCAATTTTCATGTTTTTAGCGTTAATTTTTTCAAACTAAAACAGGTTTGACGTACCGTCTTGTAGTTGTTCCTCCAGTCGGGATGGTGACAGACTGCCTCTGCTTTCAGTGCTACTTTCGTCATGAAAGAAAATGCATCACCAAACTCTTCGAAAGTATATTTCTTGTGAAGCTTGGTTCCTTTTTTTATTATTGCCCATCCTTCCTTTATCAGAGGTTCCAAAACTTCCTTCTTTTTTGTTGTCAGCTTTTCTGGCTGTTCAGATGGCAAACAATTGACGAGTGGGTCCATGAAATCCCTTTCAGAATATGATACCCCAACACAAGTCATTATGACTAATGACAAAAGAGCAAGCCGTGCCATTGTCATTTCTTTGCAACTCATCTTCTTGATTAGAAGTTCCACTTCAGCTTTCCTTATTTATAGCTAAATAGTGTGAATGTCTGGGAAATTTTTTTTTGCTTCGCTTAGTGCCAAATTGTGTGCAAGTTGCATGAAAAAATGATATTAGGCTTGAACTTTGAATAGTCTGCAAATGAAGCATTGTCTGACCTTTTTGTCCATGATTTTTGGGAAAATTAAGTAATACATCATAAAAAGACAGATTTGAGTCTGCTCATAACTAACTGTGAAATCAAATTTTAACATACCAGGGGTTGTGGTAGTGATGGAGATGACTTAATTTACGCCTATGCTATAATGCAGTGGTTCCCAAATTTTTTTTGCGGGCGGCCCAAGATCATGATAGAATACTAAACGGCATGTAGTACTTTTATGTCTGCTTAACATAGTGACTAATATAAAACAATCATTTTTACATGATATTTTTCGTCCAGAAATTACCTCAAAATGAAAAGGCGACGCTTGTTTGCCATCAGGGAGTTTTTGAAATGCTGGTGCGACTTTACTTTGCAAAATGAATGCTGCCAAGTTTTTACTCTGTGATACTTCCCACATATACAATTACTATTGAGTAACCCTTCAAAACCAGATATAAAATAAATAATAAAATGTACTAGAAAATAAAATTAGTAACTTTTAGGTTTTTTGTTGAAAAACAAGCGACGCAAGAAAATTTGCAGACAACCCAGTTTTGGGTCGCGGCCCATAGCTTGGAAAACACTGCTATAATGAACCATGTTAACATGCCAAAATTTACTGCCCGATGCATGAACCATGAATCAGACAAAACAAAACCTGTCAACTGTTCTCAAGCCACACGAAACGTCAACGCAAGTTTCATACAATTTGTGTATATTTCTAGACTGATTATTATTGGTCTTCATTATCAAGGCAATATTCAATATACTATAATTTGTTAATGTAATAATAAACAATGCAAACCTTTGATCGATTTTAAGATTGATGATCGAAGAGTAATATCACATAATTTGTATGGTTCCTAACAAATATGTCTAACATTGATCACGATCTTATTTGGTACATATTGATTAAAGTAAACTTCTATTACTGAATATTTTAATCGTCGATTGCAGAATCATGTTTTAAATCATCACTGTGTTCGTTAATGATAGTTATATAACAAAAAAATTTAAGGTAAAATATTGGGCCTTACAAAACTTTAAATTTGAAATTCAAGAAAAAAATGTAAATCTGGGTCAACTTCTTTCATTTTTAATTTCTGAAAATTTGAAATCAATTGCTACATCAGTTGTGGAGAGAGCGTTTTTTACGAGCTAACAAAGCTATCCATGAGTCCACTTCGTGATCAATATATATAAAATGCTTATTTAAGACGGTTTATGCTGTCTTGCCTGTCCCTTTTAAAATAGCACTATTTAGTCCTAACATCACCCCCTTATCAGCACTGGTAAATATTTTCAAATAGAATATTAATTTGCTGGCATTATTCATTTATTTTGTCATGATGATACTGAAATATTAACATCAAAAAAGCAGTTTGTGTACATGTTTAGGAATAATAAAAAAAAATGTTTCTTTGTGTAATAAAATATCGAACTTATTAAAAATATGAAATAGGACAACACATTTTCCTGTGAACATTTTATTTAAATCGAAGATATTCTCTTTGGCTCTACATTCCTTTTGAGAAAGATTACAGCTGCGTCGTCCATAAATTTTGCCAACTTCACGTCACTCGTTGTTATTCCACCTTTACTCCATGTGAAAAGAGTCACTTCAACCTAGGAAAATAAGCAAGATAAAAAAAAGAATACTTTTAAAAAAAAATTCATCATTTTCACCTATTATCTAAATCTATTACAGTCCCAGAATTCATGTATTTGTTGGTAAAATATGTTTTTTCTATAAAAATGATTAAATATTTTGATATTTTGAGTTACTTCATTAATTTATTTTTAGTACGGTAATCAAAGCAAATTACATAAACTCTGGGGAATTACTTTTCAATAGGATACTGAATGAACTTGATTTTATTCTTTTTACTTGTGTGTCGTATTTTTAAATGAATAATTTGTAAAATTCACTCCTTAAATTTAAGAAAGATTAGTAAAAATGCTTATCGGAATAAAATTATAGATGTTTTCATGTTTTTGGGGTTAATTTTTCTAAAAAAAACAAGTTCAACATACCGTTTTGTAGGTATTCGTCCAGTTGGGATGGTGACAGACCGCTTCTGCTTTCAGTGCAACTTTCGTCATGAAAGAAAATGCATCAGCAAACTCTTCAAAAGTATATTTCTTGTGAAGCTTGGTTCCTTTTTCTATTGTTGCCCATCCTTCCTTTATCAGAGGTTCCAAAACTTCCTTCTTTTTTGTTATCAGCTTTTCTGGCTTTTCAGATGGCAAACAATTGACGAGTGGGTCCATGAAATCCCTTTCGGAATATGATACCCCAACACAAGTCACTATGACTAATGACAAAAGAGCAAGCCGTGCCATTGTCATTTCTTCGCAACTCAACTTCTTGATTAGAAATTCCACTTCAGCTTTCCGTATTTATAGCTAAATAGTTTGCGAATGTCGTGGAAATTTTTTTTTGCTTGGCAATTGGCATAGTACCAAATTGTGTGCAAATTGTATGAAAAAATGATATTGGACTTGAACTTTGAATAGTCTGCAAATGAAGCATTGTTTGACATTTTTGTCTATGATTTCTGGGAAAATTAAGTAATACATCATAAAAAGACAGATTTGAGTCTGCTCATAACTGACTGTAAAATCAAATTCCAACATACCAGAGTCTATGGCAGTGGTGGAGATGACTTAATTTATGCAGTGGTTCCCAAACTTTTTTCCGGGCGACCCAAGGGCATGATAGAATACTAAACGGCATGTAGTACTTTTCATGTCTGCTTAACTTAGTGACTAATATAAAACAATCATTTTTACATGATATTTTTCGTCCAGAAATTACCTCAAAATGAAAAGGCGACGCTTGTGTGCCATCAGCAGGTTTTTGAAATGCTGGTGCGACTTTACTCTGCAAAATGAATGCTGCCAAGTTTTTACTCTGTGATACTTACGCATATACAATTACTATTGAGTAACACTTCAAAACCAGATATAAAATAACTAATAAAATGTACTAGAAAATAAAATTAGTAACTTTTAAGTTTTTTGTTGAAAAACAAGAGACACAAGATAATTTGCAGACAACCCAGTTTCGGGTCGTGGCCCATAGCTTGGAAAACACTACTATATTGAACCATGTTAACATACCAATATTTACTGCCCTATGTATGAATCATACGAATCAAAACCTGTCAACTGTTTTCAAGTCGCACGAAACGTCTACGCAAGTTTCATACAATTTGTGTATATTTCTAGACTGATTATTATTGGTCTTCATTATCAAGGCAATATTCAATATACTATAATTTGTTAATGTAATAATAAACAATGCAAACCTTTGAACGATTTTAAGATTGATGATCGAAGAGTAATATCACATAATTTGTATGGTTCCTAACAAATATATCTAACATTGATCACGATCTTATTTGGTACATATTGATTAAAGTAAACTTCTATTACTGAATATTTTAATCGTCGATTGCAGAATCATGTTTTAAATCATCACTGTGTTCGTTAATGATAGTTATATAACAAAAAATTTTGAGGTAAAATATTGGGCCTTACAGAACTTTAAATTTGAAATTCAAGAAAAAAATGTAAATCTGGGTCAACTTCTTTCATTTTTAATTTCTGAAAATTTGAAATCAATTGCTACATTAGTTGTGGAGAGAGCGTTTTTTACGAGCTAACAAAGCTATCCATGAGTCCACTTCGTGATCAATATATATAAAATGCTTATTTAAGACGGTTTATGCTGTCTTGCCTGTCCCTCTTAAAATAGCACTATTTAGTCCTAACATCACCCCCTTATCATCACTGATAAATGTTTTCAAAACGAATATTCATTTGCTGGCATTATTCATTTATTTTGTCATGGTGATACTGAAATATTAACATCAAAAAAGCAGTTCGTGTACATGTTTAGGAATAATAATAAAAAGCGTTACTTTGTGTAATAAAATATCGAACTTATTAAAAATATGAAATAGGACAACACATTTTCCTGTGAACATTTTATTTAAATCGAAGATATTCTCTTTAGCTCTACATTCCTTTTGAGAAAGATTGCAGCTGCGTCGTCCATAAATTTTGCCAACTTCACGTCACTCGTTGTTATTCCACCTTTACCCCATGTGAAAAGAGTCACTTCAACCTATGAAAATAAGCAAGATATAAAAAAATAAAACTTTGTAAAAAACATTCATCATTTTTAGCAATTAGCAATTATCCTATAAGTTCACTACTAAAATCTATAACAGTCCCAGGATTCATGTATTTGTTGGAAAATATTTTTTTTCCTTAAAAATGATCAAATATTTTGATATTTTGAGTTACCTCATTAATTTATTTTTAGTACGGTAATTAAAGCAAATTACATAAACTCTGGGAAATTACTTTTTTGACGTACCGTCTTGTAGTTGTTCCTCCAGTCGGGATGGTGACAGACTGCCTCTGCTTTCAGTGCTACTTTCGTCATGAAAGAAAATGCATCACCAAACTCTTCGAAAGTATATTTCTTGTGAAGCTTGGTTCCTTTTTTTATTATTGCCCATCCTTCCTTTATCAGAGGTTCCAAAACTTCCTTCTTTTTTGTTGTCAGCTTTTCTGGCTGTTCAGATGGCAAACAATTGACGAGTGGGTCCATGAAATCCCTTTCGGAATATGATACCCCAACACAAGTCACTATGACTAATGACAAAAGAGCAAGCCGTGCCATTGTCATTTCTTCGCAACTCAACTTCTTGATTAGAAATTCCACTTCAGCTTTCCGTATTTATAGCTAAATAGTTTGTGAATGTCGTGATAATTATTTTTGTTGTGCATAGTGCCAAATTGTGTGCAAGTTGCATGAAAAAATGATATTGGGCTTGAACTTTGAATAGTCTGCGAATGAAGCATTGTCTGACATTTTTGTCTATGATTTTTGGGAAAATTAGGTAATGCATCATAAAAAAACAGATTTGAGTCTGCTCATAACTAACTGTGAAATCAAATAATAACATACCAGGGTCTGTGGCAGTGGTGGAGATGACTTAATTTACGCCTATGCTATAATGCAGTGGTTCCCAAACTTTTTTCCGGGCGACCCAAGGGCATGATAGAATACTAAACGGCATGTAGTACTTTTATGTCTGCTTTACTTAGTGACTAATATAAAACAATCATTTTTACATGACATTTTTCGTCCAGAAATTACCTCAAAATGAAAAGGCGACGCTTGTTTGCCATCAGCGAGTTTTTGAAATGCTGGTGCGACTTTACTTTGCAAAATGAATGCTGCCAAGTTTTTACTCTGTGATAATTCCCACATGTACGATTACTATTGAGTAACACTTCAAAACCCGATATAAAATAATTAATAAAATGTACTAGAAAATAAAATTAGTAACTTTTAGGTTTTTTGTTGAAAAACAAGAAACACAAGAAAATTTGCAGACAACCGAGTCCCGGGTCGTGACCCATAGCTTGGAAAACACTACTATATTGAACAATGTTAACATACCAATATTTACTGCCCGATGCATAAACCATGAATCATACAAAACAAAACCTGTCAACTGTTCTCGAGCCACACGAAACGTCTACGCAAGTTTCATAGAATTTGTGTATATTTCTAGACTGATTATTATTGGTCTTCATTATCAAGGCAATAATCAATATACTATAATTTGTTAATGTAATAATAAACAATGCAAACTTTTGATCGATTTTAAGATTGATGATCAAAGAGTAATATCACATAATTTGTATAGTTCCTAACAAATATGTCTAACATTGATCACGATCTTATTTGGTTCATATTGATTAAAGTAAACTTCTATTACTGAATATTTTAATCGTCGATTGCAGAATCATGTTTTAAATCATCACTGTGTTCGTTAATGATAGTTATATAACAAAAAATTTTGAGGTAAAATATTGGGCCTTACAGAACTTTAAATTTGAAATTCAAGAAAAAAATGTAAATCTGGGTCAACTTCGTTCATTTTTAATTTCTGAAAATTTAAAATCAATTGCTACATTAGTTGTGGAAAGAGTGTTTTTTACAAGCTAACAAAGCGATCCGTGAGTCCACTTCATGATCATTATATCTAAAAGGCTTATTTAAGACGGTTTATGCTGTCTTGCCTGTCCCTCTTAAAATAGCACTATTTAGTCTCAACAGTACCCCCTCACCAGCACTGGTAAATATTTTCAAAACGAATATTAATTTGCTGGCATTACTTATTTATTTTGTCATGATGATACTGAAATATTAACATCAATAAAGCAGTTTGTGTACATGTTTAGGAATAATAAAAAAAAAACTGTTTCTTTGTGTAATAAAATATCGAACTTATTAAAATTATGAAATATGACAACACATTTTCATGTGATCATTTTATTTAAATCGAATATATTCTCTTTGGCTCTACATTCCTTTTGAAAAGATTACAGCTGCGCTGTCCATAAATTTTGCCAACTTCACGTCACTCATTGTTATTCCGCCTTTACCCCATGTGAAAAGAGTCACTTCAACCTATGAAAATAAGCAAGATATAAAAAAATATAACTTTGTAAAAAACATTCATCATTTTTAGCAATTAGCAATTATCCTATAAGTTCACTACTAAAATCTATAACAGTCCCAGGATTCGTGTATTTGTTGGTAAAAATTTTTTTTTCCTCAAAAATGATTAAATATTTTGATATTTTGAGTTACCTCATTAATTTATTTTGAGTACGGTAATCAAAGCAAATTACATAAACTCTGGGAAATTACTTTTTTGACTTACCGTCTTGTAGTTGTTCCTCCAGTCGGGATGGTGACAGACTGCCTCTGCTTTCAGTGCTACTTTCGTCATGAAAGAAAATGCATCACCAAACTCTTCAAAAGTATATTTCTTGTGAAGCTTGGTTCCTTTTTTTATTGTTGCCCATCCTTCCTTTATCAGAGGTTCCAAAACTTCCTTCTTTTTTGTTGTCAGCTTTTCTGGCTGTTCAGATGGCAAACAATTGACGAGTGGGTCCATGAAATCCCTTTCGGAATATGATACCCCAACACAAGTCATTATGACTAATGACAAAAGAGCAAGCCGTGCCATTGTCATATCTTCGCAACTCAACTTCTTGATTAGAAATTCCACTTCAGCTTTCCTTATTTATAGCTAAATAGTTTGCGAATGTCGTGGAAATTTTTTTTGCTTCGCATAGTGCCAAATTATGTGCAAGTTGCATGAAAAAATGATATTGGGCTTGAACTTTGACAAGTCTGCAAATGAAGCATTGTCTGACATTTTTGTCTATGATTTCTGGGAAAATTAAGTAATACATCATAAAAAGACAGATTTGAGTCTGCTCATAACTGACTGTAAAATCAAATTTTAACATACCAGAGTCTATGGCAGTGGTGGAGATGACTTAATTTATGCAGTGGTTCCCAAACTTTTTTCCGGGCGACCCAAGGGCATGATAGAATACTAAATGGCATGTAGTACTTTTCATGTCTGCTTAACTTAGTGACTAATATAAAACAATCATTTTTACATGATATTTTTCGTCCAGAAATTACCTCAAAATGAAAAGGCGACGCTTGTTTGCCATCAGCAGGTTTTTGAAATGCTGGTGCGACTTTACTCTGCAAAATGAATGCTGCCAAGTTTTTACTCTGTGATACTTACGCATATACAATTACTATTGAGTAACACTTCAAAACCAGATATAAAATAAATAATAAAATGTACTAGAAAATAAAATTAGTAACTTTCAAGTTTTTTGTTGAAAAACAAGAGACACAAGATAATTTGCAGACAACCCAGTTTCGGGTCGTGGCCCATAGCTTGGGAAACACTACTATATTGAACCATGTTAACATACCAATATTTACTGCCCTATGTATGAATCATGAATCATACGAATCAAAACCTGTCAACTGTTTTCAAGTCGCACGAAACGTCTACGCAAGTTTCATACAATTTGTGTATATTTCTAGACTGATTATTATTGGTCTTCATTATCAAGGCAATAATCAATATACTATAATTTGTTAATGTAATAATAAACAATGCAAACTTTTGATCGATTTTAAGATTGATGATCAAAGAGTAATATCACATAATTTGTATAGTTCCTAACAAATATGTCTAACATTGATCACGATCTTATTTGGTACATATTGATTAAAGTGAACTTCTATTACTGAATATTTTAATCGTCGATTGCAGAATCATGTTTTAAATCATCACTGTGTTCGTTAATGATAGTTATATAACAAAAAAATTTAAGGTAAAATATTGGGCCGTACAAAACTTTAAATTTGAAATTCAAGAAAAAAATGTAAATCTGGGTCAACTTCGTTCATTTTTAATTTCTGAAAATTTAAAATCAATTGCTACATTAGTTGTGGAGAGAGCGTTTTTTACGAGCTAACAAAGCTATCCATGAGTCCACTTCGTGATCAATATATATAAAATGCTTATTTAAGACGGTTTATGCTGTCTTGCCTGTCCCTTTTAAAATAGCACTATTTAGTCCTAACATCACCCCCTTATCAGCACTGGTAAATATTTTCAAATAGAATATTAATTTGCTGGCATTATTCATTTATTTTGTCATGGTGATACTGAAATATTAACATCAAAAAAGCAGTTCGTGTACATGTTTAGGAATAATAAAAAAAAACGTTACTTTGTGTAATAAAATATCGAACTTATTAAAAATATGAAATAGGACAACACATTTTCCTGTGAACATTTTATTTAAATTGAATATATTCTCTTTGGCTCTACATTCCTTTTGAGAAAGATTACAGCTGCGTCGTCCATAAATTTTGCCAACTTCACGTCACTCATTGTTATTCCGCTTTTACCCCATGTGAAAAGAGTCACTTCAACCTATGAAAATAAGCAAGATATAAAAAAATAAAACTTTGTAAAAAACATTCATCATTTTTAGCAATTAGCAATTATCCTATAAGTTCACTACTAAAATCTATAACAGTCCCAGGATTCATGTATTTGTTGGAAAATATTTTTTTTCCTTAAAAATGATTAAATATTTTGATATTTTGAGTTACCTCATTAATTTATTTTTAGTACGGTAATTAAAGCAAATTACATAAACTCTGGGAAATTACTTTTTTGACTTACCGTCTTGTAGTTGTTCCTCCAGTCGGGATGGTGACAGACTGCATCTGCTTTCAGTGCTACTTTCGTCATGAAAGAAAATGCATCACCAAACTCTTCGAAAGTATATTTCTTGTGAAGCTTGGTTCCTTTTTTTATTATTGCCCATCCATCCTTTATCAGAGGTATCAAAACTTCTTCCTTTTTTGTTGTCAGCTTTTCTGGCTGTTCAGATGGCAAACAATTGACGAGTGGGTCCATGAAATCCCTTTCGGAATATGATACCCCAACACAAGTCACTATGACTAATGACAAAAGAGCAAGCCGTGCCATTGTCATATCTTCGCAACTCAACTTCTTGATTAGAAATTCCACTTCAGCTTTCCGTATTTATAGCTAAATAGTTTGCGAATGCCGTGGAAATTTTTTTGCTTTGCATAGTGCCAAATTATGTGCAAGTTGCATGAAAAAATGATATTGGGCTAGAACTTTGACAAGTCTGCAAATGAAGCATTGTCTGACATTTTTGTCTATGATTTTTGGGAAAATTAAGTAATACATCATGAAAAGACAGATTTGAGTCTGCTCATAACTAACTGTGAAATCAAATAATAACATACCAGGGTCTGTGGCAGTGGTGGAGATGACTTAATTTACGCCTATGCTATAATGCAGTGGTTCCCAAACTTTTTTCCGGGCGACCCAAGGGCATGATAGAATACTAAACGGCATGTAGTACTTTTATGTCTGCTTAACTTAGTGACTAATATAAAACAATCATTTTTACATGATATTTTTCGTCCAGAAATTACCTCAAAATGAAAAGGCGACGCTTGTTTGCCATCAGCGAGTTTTTGAAATGCTGGTGCGACTTTACTTTGCAAAATGAATGCTGCCAAGTTTTTACTCTGTGATACTTCCCACATATACAATTACTATTGAGTAACACTTCAAAACCAGATATAAAATAAATAATAAAATGTACTAGAAAATAAAATTAGTAACTTTTAAGTTTTTTGTTGAAAAACAAGAGACACAAGATAATTTGCAGACAACCCAGTTTCGGGTCGTGACCCATAGCTTGGAAACACTACTATAATGAACCATGTTAACATACCAATATTTACTGCCCTATGTATGAATCATGAATCATACGAATCAAAACCTGTCAACTGTTTTCAAGTCGCACGAAACGTCTACGCAAGTTTCATGCAATTTGTGTATATTTCTAGACTGATTATTGGTCTTCATTATCAAGGCAATAATCAATATATTATAATTTGTTAATGTAATAATAAACAATGCAAACTTTTGATCGATTTTAATATTGATGATCAAAGAGTAATATCACATAATTTGTATAGTTCCTAACAAATATGTCTAACATTGATCACGATCTTATTTGGTACATATTGATTAAAGTGAACTTCTATTACTGAATATTTTAATCGTCGATTGCAGAATCATGTTTTAAATCATCACTGTGTTCGTTAATGATAGTTATATAACAAAAAAATTTAAGGTAAAATATTGGGCCTTACAAAACTTTAAATTTGAAATTCGAGAAAAAAATGTAAATCTGGGTCAACTTCTTTCATTTTTAATTTCTGAAAATTTGAAATCAATTGCTACATTAGTTGTGGAGAGAGCGTTTTTTACGAGCTAACAAAGCTATCCATGAGTCCACTTCGTGATCAATATATATAAAATGCTTATTTAAGACGGTTTATGCTGTCTTGCCTGTCCCTTTTAAAATAGCACTATTTAGTCCTAACATCACCCCCTTATCAGCACTGGTAAATATTTTCAAAACGAATATTAATTTGCTGGCATTATTCATTTATTTTGTCATGATGATACTGAAATATTAACATCAAAAAAGCATTTCGTGTACATGTTTAGGAATAATAAAAAAAAATGTTTTTTTGTGTAATAAAATATCGAACTTATTAAAAATATGAAATAGGACAACACATTTTCCTGTGAACATTTTATTTAAATCGAAGATATTCTCTTTGGCTCTACATTCCTTTTGAGAAAGATTACAGCTGCGTCGTCCATAAATTTTGCCAACTTCACGTCACTCATTGTTATTCCGCCTTTACCCCATGTGAAAAGAGTCACTTCAACCTATGAAAATAAGCAAGATATAAAAAAATAAAACTTTGTAAAAAACATTCATCATTTTTAGCAATTAGCAATTATCCTATAAGTTCACTACTAAAATCTATAACAGTCCCAGGATTCATGTATTTGTTGGTAAAATATTTTTTTTCCTTAAAAATGAATAAATATTTTGATATTTTGAGTTACCTCATTAATTTATTTTTAGTACGGTAATTAAAGCAAATTACATAAACTTTTTTGACTTACCGTCTTGTAGTTGTTCCTCCAGTCGGGATGGTGACAGACTGCCTCTGCTTTCAGTGCTACTTTCGTCATGAAAGAAAATGCATCACCAAACTCTCCAAACGTATATTTCTTGTGAAGCTTGGTTCCTTTTTTTATTGTTGCCCATCCTTCCTTTATCAGAGGTTCCAAAACTTCCTTCTTTTTTGTTGTCAGTATTTCTGGCTGTTCAGATGGCAAACAATTGACGAGTGGGTCCATGAAATCCCTTTCGGAATATGATACCCCAACACAAGTCATTATGACTAATGACAAAAGAGCAAGCCGTGCCATTGTCATTTCTTCGCAACTCAACTTCTTGATTAGAAATTCCACTTCAGCTTTCCGTATTTATAGCTAAATAGTTTGCGAATGTCGTGGAAATTTTTTTTGCTTTGCATAGTACCAAATTATGTGCAAGTTGCATGAAAAAATGATATTGGGCTAGAACTTTGACAAGTCTGCAAATGAAGCATTGTCTGACATTTTTGTCTATGATTTTGGGGAAAATTAAGTAATACATCATGAAAAGACAGATTTGAGTCTGCTCATAACTAACTGTGAAATCAAATAATAACATACCAGGGTCTGTGGCAGTGGTGAGGATGACTTAATTTACGCCTATGCTATAATGCAGTGGTTCCCAAACTTTTTTCAGGGCGACCCAAGGGCATGATAGAATACTAAACGGCATGTAGTACTTTTATGTCTGCTTAACTTAGTGACTAATATAAAACAATCATTTTTACATGATATTTTTCATCCCGAAATTACCTCAAAATGAAAAGGCGACGCTTGTTTGCCATCAGCAGGTTTTTGAAATGCTGGTGCGACTTTACTTTGCAAAATGAAAAGGCGACGCTTGTTTGCCATCAGCGAGTTTTTGAAATGCTGGTGCGACTTTACTTTGCAAAATGAAAAGGCGACGCTTGTTTGCCATCACCGAGTTTTTGAAATGCTGGTGCGACTTTACTTTGCAAAATGAAAAGGCGACGCTTGTTTGCCATCACCGAGTTTTTGAAATGCTGGTGCGACTTTACTTTGCAAAATGAAAAGGCGACGCTTGTTTGCCATCAGCGAGTTTTTAAAATGCTGGTGCGATTTTACTTTGCAAAATGAAAAGGCGACGCTTGTTTGCCATCACCGAGTTTTTGAAATGCTGGTGCGACTTTACTTTGCAAAATGAATGCTGCCAAGTTTTTACTCTTTGACATATCTCACATATACAATTACTATTGAGTAACACTTCAAAATCAGATATAAAATAAATAATAAAATGTACTAGAAAATAAAATTAGTAACTTTTAGGTGAGACACAAGAAAATTTACAAACAACCTAGTTTCGGGTCGTGACCCAGAGCTTGGAAAACACTGCTATAATGAACCATGTTAACATACCAATATTTACTGCCCAATGTATGAACCATGAATCATATGAAACAAAACCTGTCAACTGTTCTCAAATCACACGAAACGTCTACGCAAGTTTCATGCAATTTGTGTATATTTCTAGACTGATTATTATTGGTCTTCATTATCAAGGCAATAATCAATATATTATAATTTGTTAATGTAATAATAAACAATGCAAACCTTTGATCGATTTTAAGATTGATGATCAAAGAGTAATATCACATAATTTGTATAGTTCCTAACAAATATGTCTAACATTGATCACGATCTTATTTGGTACATATTGATTAAAGTAAACTTCTATTACTGAATATTTTAATCGTCGATTGCAGAATCATGTTTTAAATCATCACTGTGTTCGTTAATTATAGCTATATAACAAAAAAATTTTGAGGTAAAATATTGGGCCTTACAGAACTTTAAATTTGAAATTCAAGAAAAAAATGTAAATCTGGGTCAACTTTCATTTTTAATTTTTGAAAATTTGAAATTAATTGCTACATTAGTTGTGGAGAGAGTGTTTTTTACGAACTAACAAAGCAATCCATGAGTCCACTTCGTGATCAATTTATCTAAAATGCTTATTTAAGACGGTTTATGCTGTCTTGCCTGTGACTTTTTTGCCAAAATAAGTAATACATCATAAAAAGAATAATTTGATTTATCAAGTACAATGATATTTGGCATTTCATTATTAACAGACTGTTTGTCAAACAAGTAGGTGCTTTCTTTTTATTCGACTATTAATCAATTTAGCAATGCTTTTATATACCGGTATTGATTTTAGTAAACTTTTCCAATGACAATGCTCAAAAATATAAACGCAAAGATCAATTGACCATTGGGATGGATGGCAGCATTATTTTTTCCAAAATCTCAAAAAATGGACGCTGCAGAAATTTGTGTACCAATGTAGAGGTAACTAATTTCGTTGGCCTACTTTACATCAAGTTGTGTAAAGGAACTGAAGCCTATGCGCAAGGGGGGTATATTGACTTGGCTAACACAGACAGTCCCCAAACTTGTAATAGAACTTGTAATAAGGAAAATCGGAATAAAATTATGGCCTAATTCTCAACAGGTTTTAACTCTCAACATTCTATCAACAGGTTTTATCTTATTTAAAACTTATTCGAGAAAATGTCTGATTTCGTCTTATAAATTTGGAAAACAATATCTTCCTACATTTCATTAGATTTCTTTGAATGTTTGTACTAGTTGCACAGGCCTTGTTTGTAGCCAAGGGCGAGAACTACAGCGTTGTTCTTATGCTTGTAGAAGAGTCGTTCTAATCATAACTCTGGAGTTCCTAATACTGACCCTGTACAAGCAGTCAGCATAGGTAAATTTATTGCAAGGTCCTCTTAACACATTTTACATTCATGTCATGAAATTTAACTTTAAATTATTTTCATTATTTCTATTACATTACAAATAAATAAAAAAATGACCCAACAAAACGCTAGAGTTTGCTAGGCTTGCAAAAGTTGGATAAATCTTATTATCTGTTTCTTTAAGGAAGAAACAATGCTGCTGCAACATCAATAAACTTTGCCAACGCTACATCATTCATTGTTATTCCATCTTTGCTCCATGTGTAGAGTGTCACATTGACCTAAACAAAATTCATATTATGAAGAAGTTATTTTAAAAAAAAAAACGGGGAGGGGTGCAGGTCATGGAATTTGGAGATGCATTTATCAAGAAAATCACAGTCAATTTCTTCAAATTTATGTAATCATTGTAAATCGCAACTGATGAAGGTTTTTGCTAACGGCCTCAAGTGAACTTATCTGTGGCTGCTTTGTGGGTTTCGAGGGCCCACTTTGAGAAACTTGAACCAAAACAATGAAAAAACAACAATATACCCTTTTGTATAAGTTTTCTAACAAAGGATAGTGGCAGACTGAATTGACTTTTAATCCAACTTTGGTCATGAAGGCTGCAGCATCACCAAATTCTTTGAAATCAAGGTTCTTCCGTATTGCATTTCCATCGTTAACAAGAGTCCAACCGCTTTGTATCAGAGGTTTCAAAACCTTTCTTTCTTCTTTCGTCAACTTTTCTGGCCACACAAGTCCGTGGCAGTTTATTAACGGATCATGGGCATCTATTACAGAATAAGATGTACCAATGCATGACATGGTGACGCACAACAGTAACGCGATTTTGACCATAGCCATTTTTTCTCCTCTGTTACCATTGGCTTACAAATTTTAACGAACATTATTGTCTTTATATATAGTATCTTCATTCCGAATACAAAAAAATGAGATTTTTTTCTGATTTAATTACTACCATAAATTATTACCATACAGGCATACACCATCAATTATTCCTACACTGCGTGACTAAATATTCTGGAAGTTCTCGTTTTTAATTAAATATTCAGATTCGAGATATTTTTAGTTGGTAATATGAAAGTAACTGAAACTTGATAAGTAGTTTATTACAATACTTGTCAGAAAAGCATATATTCAACTTATTTTATCTTTGAACTTCCTGTTAAAGTGATTGGAATAAGTAATAATGACGACGTCAACATGATCTATAACGATTTATAGCTAATGACCCTTTGTGTCAAAACACAATTATTCGACTAATGTTGATTACAAATTAGCATACGCTGTGTAGACTTTTTTCAAGCTTTGATAATAACATACAGCTTCTACTTTTTTGATGCAACTTTTATGTCACATCACCTCACAAGGAAAACTCCTACATGATAGCCGTCTAGTATAATTTACAAATGGTTTTCTCAATTGATATGGCGATGTATATGAAGAGCATCTTTTGTCATATTCTCCTTTCTCTTATTTTTCATTGTTGTTCGGAATGATTTTTTTAGTTGCAGAATCCCCGTTTATACAGAGAATGTATTTGGCTTTACTCTGATTCAATGTTAAGGTGGTACTTTGTGCAAGTTTGAAAATAATCATAATTCATTAAGTAAAATTTAATAGACAAAATATATTTTTGGACAATCAACTTGAATTTAAGGGAAATTATTGTATTCAATCAAATATTAAAATAAAATGAAAATTGGTACACGTACTATGTGAGTACCAAATAGTTTACCATGTCGAAATGGTATTTAATGAAAAAAAACATTTTCATCGTCGCAGGCAAGCAAATCATGTGTTAATTTGTTTAAATATCTTTTCAACGATACAAACAAATTAACACATTAATTGCTTTTCGTTGCCAGTGAATTAGTCTTTTTTTATGCAACAACCAAACTTTGACATAAATAACCATGTCTATTTTTTTACTAATTCTGAGAAAATACCAACATAACTTTGAATTGATTCCAGATTCTTGCAGTCGAAATTTGCAGTTTTTGTAGATTTAATGAAATTTTGGTTGTTTTGCAGACTATTTTCAAATCAATTACCGGTGGCTCATTATTCATATTTGTTCTAATCATGTTTTGTAATAAAATTTTTTTTTGCAAAATTCATTTTATTATCTAAAATATTGATCTTGTAAATTTTTACTGTCTGCCCATTGCAAAGTTTGTTGCTTCTATATTCTACATCTATATCGTTTTCAGGTTAAACGAGTATTTACTTTTATTTGGTCTGCATTTATTTATTTGACTGCCACCATTGATTTTTACCAATATAGTTACCTCATCAGGTATTATATTGGATTTTAAACTTTTTTTCACATCTCCTTGGCATCTTGATACATTCTGTCCCCATCGCATTTTATATATATAGTGTTTTTCTGAATTCGGTTCTCAACTATGTCATTTTGGAAATACTGTGCTCTTTTCTCTTTTCTGGTATGGGAAATTATATTAATCAATTCTGTATCTGCTACTGTTGGTATTAACAATGAATAAAGTTGACTTGTTTAGGTATTACATCAAGAATAGTGAACCATTCACTTATGTTTTATTTTTTATTCCGTTTCCAATATTTCAAATTTGAATTCCAGATCCAACAAGAATGAACAACAATGTATGTGAAAGAACAATACATATGAGAAACATGGGAATCAAGTTGTTGAGAGAATGTTTGTATGAAGATGCGTCTGGCAAACCAAATATAACGTAGGTTCTACTGGTATTTATATATATCTAAAAATCTGTTCATGCACTTACTATTTTCTTCATCCTGAAGGTTTTTTCTATTTTAATTCAAGTGGAATTTTATACATCTCGTTACTAATCTTCAAATCATTTGCATGCACATCAATGCAGAATAATTATTTTTTAGAAAAGCACACCATCTTTCATATAACCTTGTATTTCTAAAACAAATCTATTCATTATTTTATAAGATAATTGTACGGCAAACTGTACCATCTAGTTCAGGGGTCGGGAACCTTTTTGGTCAAGAGAGCCATAAAATATACATATTTTCAATTGCATTTCCGTGCGAGCCATATAACATTTCTTCACTTAATCAGGCCTGAAATGTTTACTCAAAAGTCAACACATACAATCTCAATATACATTTAATGTGATTTCTGATGCTGCATGTAGTCGCTGCGGGCCTTGAACGGTTGCTCACATGCAGCCCAAGTTGAAATCTACGATACTCATCACCCTTTTTTGTTTAGGCACCTCCGTAATGTTTTTAAAACTCACAATGTCACAATATATGTTCCAAAATCCCCTTGTTTGTCACAATGCCTGTCTGGTAATTATCTTACATGACATAGACATGTGCTGGAGGCGCGTTCTCAAACGTATTGGGAATTTCCTGCCAAATTTGGCTATAATAGAGTTTGAGATTTTGTAACAATAGTAAGCTTAGTCTTGGGATATTAGATTTTTCTGGGAGCCATATGCCGTCACCAAAAGAGCCATATATGGCTCGCGAGCCATGGGTTCCCGACCCCTGATCTAGTTCATGCTTATCCCAGAAAAAAAAAACAGTTTCCATGAAATAAATTTAATGCGAATCATCAGATTTTCTAGGCAAAATAGGAAATTTATATTTGGCATGTCAAAGATATGTTTTTTTGTATTAGGCTGTTTGCTTAAAACATGGCTCTGTGCAAGGAAGCATTTATTGTCTGAGGAAATACAAATTCTGCATGAGCCAGCTTCTCTATTTAGCTATCGGCTTTATTAGCTTTATCATTAATATTTTATTTTATAGGTTCTGTGAGGATATTCAACGAACGTTGGGATGGGATTGGATGCTGCTATTCATGCAGGAGAATATTCACTCTTCTACTGTGGTTGAAATCACACTTCTGCTATTGGAAACTCTAAGGTATTACTAAAAGTGTCAGATACTTTAATTTCATTTATCATGTTTTATGAACCACTGGAAAATTTGAGAATGTTGAATAAATTGACCAGAAAAATCTGCGTAAATCTTCACAAAATTATAGCAATTGAATTTAGTGCTACAAAGTTATAAACTGTTTTATTGATTTCTATTTATATGTAGAGTTAAATTAATGTTATTTTTGGTTTATCTGTCAATTTTTCAAATGAATATAATTTTAAACTATATTTTAAATCAAGAGTTCGCTGTATCGAATGTTATCAATTTCGAATGTGTTCAAATTTTTACATTTCTAAATTCTCTACACATTTTATATAGCTCACACTGAAACGATTACTGTATGTCCAAAAGCATTCAAATTGATTCAAAATTAATTATATTGGATATTTCAAATTCTTGATTTCGGGAATATCTCAAATAAAGCTTAGAATATACATAGACTACTTTGTTGAACATGAACATATCCGATATTCCATATTGATAATATTATTTTAGAAAGTTTTCGAAATAGAAAATTACATCGCCATCTCTGGCAATTGAAAAACATTGTTTATAATGTATTTTCCCCGGCTATAGAGTCGCTTTTCTGTACCTATTTTTATGGCCTGGTTTTGGTGGGGCCTTATTAGGCGGTTACCAGCTATGCTCATTTTATTTTTTCTTGGGTCGACTTTTTTGCATGGGTTCTCAAACATGATTTGTGTTAACCCTATGTCTGAGTTAATATATTTTATAATGTATTCGAGGCCAAAGTAGCCATACGATGAAGCACTCCCTATTTATGCCCGATATTAGTACCCTTCAAAAAGAAAAGGTTACCACGAGATAAAGTGATTGATTTATGAAACTTTGGTTTTGCCAATTCAGGGAAAAACGACTCCATAAAGGAAAACACAGTTAATCCTATAAAATTATGAGAGCATATTAGTGCTTAAAAATAGTCCTCTCCTCTTTTTGCGGGTTGACTTATTAGCTGGAGAATCCCGTAGTTATATTTATCATACTATAATCATTCAGATGTGGTTCCACTGGATTCAAGTATTCCCATCATTCCTCGTCAGTATCAAGCTCATCATTGTCATCTGCTGCTTTATCCACATCTTCGTCTCTTGTCGGAGCAGCTGGTGTTGCAGTAACCGGTATCAGTTCGAATTCAACATCTTATAACACGGCTTATGAAAGATTTAAATACGGTGAACTTTGCGGAGGATGGCTGGATGGCACTGAAGCTATTCTGGAGAGCAGTGCAGACTCATTACTTGGTAGGTTTTAATGAAAAGGGTAATTGTAGTTGAAGACTATATTTTGAAAATGAAAAAGATAAAGTATGGATAACCAACCATCCACAGACATAAAAGCTTAAGCAACTTGAAAATTCCAGATATTGTGTTTCGAAACTCGTCGTATTAATTATTGCACTGCGTCAAATATTGCACTTTGTCCGGAAAATGTTTCGAGGACTTTACAACGAAAGACAAGATATTGAAATTTGCAAAAAAAATATTTGAAACTGATACAAAAAATGAGTGCACTTTAAGCCGGTTAAGTTTAAATCGAAAATATGTGTTTTTCTCATCTTTCCAAAAGAGATTTTTCAAATTTTACTTTTTCGACTGGAGTAATCAAATTTTGTACTAAAAAAGGGCTTATTCTAAATGAAGTAGGTAATAATAAACTTCTGAGTTGGTACTATTTTTAATGCCTCTAGGATTAGCTGCTCGTTCGAGTCTTTATTTGGAGCTGAAGTTTAAAAAAAATCACCCTTTGATTAACAAAATAATATTGTTACCTGTTATTTTACATCTTTTCATAAATTAATTTCTAGGTTTCAATGTTGGTTCTGCTTCAGACAAACCATATCATCGACAAGTTTGTAGAGAATCTTGTTCTATTGCTGGATTTTCTGCTCTCGCTACATATCTTCTACGGCACATGAATTCACCAAGATTGTATATTGCTTTGTTACAATTCGCTGTCTCTGATAAACTCAGTGACCCACCAGACTTGAAACAGGTAATAATAAATGATTTTGAAATTCCATTGATAGTAGTAATTTAGTACTGTATTTTGCTTCATGAATGATAACTTATACTTTATTAAATGATTAATTATAAACTATTGTTTTTACATAACATTCATTTCTCCGATATTACCAGCTGCCTTGTTCGCCATCAGCGAGTTTTTGAAATCATCGAGTGGCTTTAAGCGAAATAGATGCGTCCAATTTTTTGATCTTTGGTACATCCTACTTACTACTGAGCAACTCTTCAATACTACATATAACATAAACAATAAACTCTACTAGAAAGGTTTTTGTTGAAAAAACGAGCGACTCAAGAAAAGTTTCAACCTAGTTTTGGGTCACGTTTTATAGGTTGGGAAATTCTGCCTTTGAGTGGGCAAGTTTGAGAAACTATGTTATAAGTCTGTTCCCTGAACCCAAACTTGACCTGATATTCGCTAAAATAATTGTTTCCAGATTGATTTGGACACCATGTATGAATATATATTTGGTTTGAATGCAAATGCTGGAGGACCTGCAAGTCCTCGATCTAAATTGAAGCCAAGTTCTAGTTTTACTGGAATTTCCCAATCAAATCAAGCATCGGTGGCAATGAGTCTCGAAATCTTTCAAGTTATCTTATCCATGGTCAGATCCATGATAAATCAGGTATTTATATTTTTACATAGTATCGCTGATTTTTTTAAACGACGCTTATTCACCCATTTCGCTCTGAACGAAGCCTCGTACAAGCAGCAACTGGTAGTTAATGTTGTTCCAAATGCAGGGTGATCCAGGGTAAACAAAACCCAGGTCATTTTGAAATTTTTCTTATTCGTGAGTCAAAGATCAATTTTCTATGACCTCAACAGCCCCAAAACAAAAAATCACGAAGGTTATGGCAGAAAGGAATTGTGAATGTTTTGGTCTGATTACTTTACCAGTCACTTGTAATCATTGTGACATTACTTGTTGTTACTTGTTATTACAATTACATTACATTACTTGTTTACATGTTTGTGTGAGGGTGCTGCTTTGGTGATGGTGCAATATAGTTTGTAACAGGCCTGGATGAAGGACCTGTATCTGCCTTGAGAGCAAATAAACTTTGCAGGAATGATTATTTTAAATGATTGTACTTTTTTTTTCAGAAATGGCAGAATGAACCATCAACCTCATGGCTACAAACATATCCAATTGTTATGCTTCAAACATTGATATTTATTTATCAATTCAATTACAATTCTTTGGCATCAGTATTTGTATCTCATGATTTCATATCTTATCTTTGTGCAACTATCTTTCCAACTGAAGATAACACATTTTATGTAAGTTTTGTTATTTTATCTATTTTCATTCTGTAATTTTAGGGATTGGTGAAATTGAAAATCAGAATAAAATCAGTGGCATTCTGCAGTAGGTCAACTCTGAGTTTTATTATTGCTTGTTGAGCACTCACGAGATATAAGCGAGCTTATCGAATACTCGAATGCTACAAATTTGGACTGCTGTTCGCTAGTTGATTGACCCGAATCCCAAATAGGGATGTTTGGGAAACTCTGTTATAGACTATAATAAAATTCATCTTTAATTCATTTCACAGATGGTTCCATATTTTTCTATCTCTGGAACAAACAGCAAAACTGCTACGTCCAGCGTTCCGACTACTCCAAACGAAGAAAATCCTAACAATATCCCTGCATCATTCACGTCTGATACTCTAAACAAGGAAAGTCTACTTTCTACCCATCCATGCAAGAAGTTTATCTTCAGTCTTATTCAGCATATTATATTTGATTCTTTATCTTTGCCATCAACGTCGTCAAATTCAGGGAAGCATGCACAAGTTATTGATATCATACTAGAGGTGGGTTGTAATTTTACCATACTCAAATTATGAATATGTGGACTCATGTTGAGACAATACTCTTTTCTAAACTTATGTTTCTAACTACGAAAAATTGCGATGTATGATACAGAAAAATGCTTTTTTTTACATTTCAAAATCGGGTCTTCCAACCTGCTAAACCACCCCCCCCCCCCCTTGGTACGCACTGGACTTCACTAATTCAAAGCTGTTTCAAGTCTTGCGTCACTTTGCGTTTGTTGTCGCTTAACGCACTCACTATCCGTGTTTACCCATAAGTTTGCTCAGAATAAGTCTTTCTTGCATTAGATTTGTTTCATTGGGATGAAAGAAATACAAGTGTTTTCTTGTTATTTAAACTAATTTGAACTAATGTTTTATTCATTTAATGCTAAATAAACTCTTCTATCTATTCCTATTTATCAACATTTCCCTTTTTTGTACAATTGTTAGAAATTAACAATGTCAAACAAAAAATGTTAACATATTGTTTCGTATGTATTTACTCATAGTAGTCAAAATTCCAATAAAAGTTACCTGATTTAATACGAAGATAAGTGGCATCGGGCTAACTGAATAAACTGACTTTATATTTCTGTCTTCAGATACATTATTAAATCAAATATATTCAATCCCAATGTTTCTCACATACACAAAAATTTTATTTCAAAATAGCCAGGCAGATTTTTTATACAATGCTTCAAAATTTTTTGCTCCAAACAAGACCCTGTGCATGCAGCTACTGATATCTAACAGTATTTAATCCAACTTTTCGTATATCTCGGCACACTTTTGAGCTCTTTAAATATTTGCGGCTCACCTATCACAAAACATGAACATTTTCTACTCATGAAGCCATTTTGCTATAAAATAACAAAAAACAAATGAGATCTAATAATCTTTGTCTATATTTAAACACATGTTGTTTCTGCCTTACAAAATTATCATTTCCAAAAAGTGCGATAGTTGATCCCGAATTTTTTTTTTGTAGTTACCGATATTATAACTGTTTTCTTACAATAATGTACATGAGACTGAGAGCGCCTTTGTTTTGATGGCCCTTCCCCGTTCCACGAAGGGCCCTTATTATTATCACAGGTATTCTCATTTTGGTGGTTTAATTTATCATTGATATAATTTGTCACTCAGAAATGAATTGTTTTCAAACAATAAACCGTCTAATAATGAATCACTATCAATTTAAAACAACTTTGCTCATCAATTTATATCCAATTTTTTTCAGTTTTCACCAGAACGATGCACAACATCGCAACTAAAGGAGTTTCAAACAGACATCATAAACCATCTTTTTTCCAATCTTATTGCTGCTGAACCGTTCTTGGGAGAAACCGGTGTTCTTTTGACCCATGGAAACCTCTCGCATACCGGGAATGCAAATACTAAAAAAGGAAATTCAAATGTAGGAGCAGCATATGATAATATTCAACAAAATGTCGCTTACTTTGCTTCAAGAGTTGTGGACAGAGTATGGTTAGGTGAGTAAGATAACATAATAATTCAATTATAATGACTGTAATGCTTTTGTAATATTATAACTCAATATTGCTGAGGTCGTCAAGCAGAGATGTCCAAAATCTCTTTTCGGAAAACATTCTTGGTTATTGTTCTGAATATACTGTAATATTGGTCATATTTAGCGATTAAATTTGCAGAAATTTTTGTATATTTTCATAAATAAAAATTGCTAATGCAGTTTAGTTTTAGATCAGTGGATCTCAAATCTTCATGATCCATGGCCCCCTTTTAAAGATTCAACACTTAGTTTCAACCGTTTCAATCAGTTATTTTATGTCTCGCGTTTGATATCAAAAAGGCCAACCAACAAGCAAAGAATAAATGCAGTACCGTCAAGGAATAAATCACAAAACAATTTAATTCAAATTATTATAGCCATTGTGAATTCTACCTAGTGATGGTCTTTGCCTGTTGCCCTCACAGAACTGCTCCATGTCTCCCTTGAGAGCGGGGATTTTGATTGATTTTGTAGTTTGTACTGTGTCAGTATTTAAATGAAGTCTATTTTTAATGACATTTTCAATTCATTCATGACGGTCTATATTTAATGACATTTTCAAGTAAAAATATTCTATATTCCTCCTAAAATTGTATGTGTAATTTATCGAATATCATCATATTGACTGTTTTAAGATATTCGTTCATTTGGGGCATCTGTGCCAAAATTGAACTAAATATGAGATTAAATAATTCTGCTCTTAACTTGTTATTTTAATATTACATTTTCCTTATTTCAGACATGTATAACCAAGACACAAAAACTATTTTTGAATTCATTCGAAAGCTTGTTGTTCAAGGCAGACATAAAGGTAATTTAACTCATTAACTACCAAATTTTTGTCACAGTTTATTTTATAGTGGGCATATGATAGGATTTACCTATTTCCCGGGAAGAGGAAAGCCGATAAGATGGCTTAATCGTATGGCAAACCACGGCCTCTCATCCGGTTACCAGTCCATGTCGGGTATGGGATTAGTTAGCCAGTTATTTATTTTCAGAAGCATGTTCTTGAAGGTAGAGGCAATCGTAATCGTCCAACGGTTACGTGAACCACCCTACGACGGCGAAGAGTTCACCAATCTCCTCGCACATTATTATCCCCACAGAATTCGAATTGCAGGGTAATCAGGTGCGGTACCGAGCCTATTTTTGACGCTTAGCACAATCCGCCATAGAGGGCAACAGCGCGCTTATGCTATTTACTCGTATGTAACACGCACTTTGAATTTGTGATTAAAAATCAGTACAGACTTTTGCACGTTATACTCTAATAAAATAAATAAGCTATGTTTTTAATTTCAATTTACTCTGTTTTACAGCTAGCAAATGCTCCTCATCACTACTGGATAGTTTGTATCGAAGTCTATATCGAGTCATCTTATATCAACTAAGTCGACGACATCAAAGTGTATCTGAGCAGATGACAGTACTCGATGCATTACACAGTCTTACGTCAAACCAAGAACTTATTTTTGATGCCAAAAGAAATGATCACTTATTTGTTTCTGGATTGTGCCATTGTCTTTTTATGCTTTCTGGTGACAGGTTAGTAGTTTCTTTTATGTCTAATATATTCCCAATAAGACAGAACTTAATTTTAGCTGTCAATAAAATATATGACGAATGCATAGTCTGTTTATGGATATGTTCAGCAAAAAAATAATATTTGACAGTGCAAACACTTTTCTTTAATTGGTAACCTTGATTTTATGAAATTTTTCAAGAGACAAGCAGTCATTTAGACTTGCAAGCTATTTGTGTTGAAAGAGGGAGCTTTTTAGTTTTTTATATTCTGCCAAATTTTATTTTCTTTGGTCAAATGATGAATTGGACTGGTCTTAAATTTAAAATCTATCTTTCCCAATGCCAACATAGTTGCACTAACGAGTTGTCCATTTGTTGATCAAAATGCTGCTTCATCGAATAAACAATAACCAGACAACTTTCTTTTGACCTGTATCCAGCTGACAGAAAATTTCAAGCTTCAACTATTTATTTCAATGATATAGAAATAATCAATCTTTTTCAGACATTGATAATTTGTGACCAAAGTTATGTTACACTATATAATTCCTGCTTCTTTTTCAAATACCTGATAACTTATCTTCAAATCGGCATTAGAAATTGTTATTGCAGGCGTTTCATAAGAATGTGGTTAAAAAAATTCATCTCATATTATTATTGTATTGTTGTAATTTATCAGTTACGTTACTGTAGGCTGTAGCGTGGTAACGTCTAAATTGTTGTCCATATTTAAGTGCTGGTGTTGGATTTGGGGTGGAGGAAATACAAAGACAAACAACCTGGCATATTGTAAATCATGATAACACTGTCTCAGAAATTGAAACAGGTAAATCAAATTTTTAGAATTCTAATATCTTCGCCATAAAAGTGATTCTCAGCTTTTTTATGTCGATGTAAAGAGTATTAAAAATCAGTTTACATATAAGTACTGTTATTTCGTCAGAGGGGTTCTATTATTTAATTTATCTGCTGAAACATTTTATATACGCTTCAGATAATCATATATCTTTTAACCAAATAAAGAATAGACGTACCTACAAAAATATTCTTCATTGGCACATTGACAGCCTCTATATAGTTTTTAATACTTACATAGCCATACAACTATTATTACAACTCAACCGTAAGTTTGGCTTTTTACTTCAGCCCACAAATTTTTCACCTAACAGATCATTCATGCTGTACTCAAATAAAAACACTGCATTAATATATTAGAAAATTTAAAACTTTGCATCAGCATTGGCATTAGAAGTCCATAAACTCCAGGTTGCGGGTCATGGATCATCCGAGTCTCGAGTCTGGTCCATTAGTAACTAGGTTAAGTATCATCGGTGGTTAGTTGACGATAAATCATTTCATTCCATTTCGATGACTCTAGCTAATTATTTTGAGTCTTCCCTAAATAGGGACTTGAGTCCAACTTGAGTTGAGTCAATAGCTCTCCTCAATACAGATGTCAATGTATGGACATAAGAGTGTCATTCATCTAAAACTAAATTCATATTTGCCATTAAATTATTTATGTCCTCTAGCTGAAGAAGCAGAAAACCCATCAGGTCCTGGACAGCCAGCAACTCCACAAGAAAAAGGCAAAATCTTATTGTCTAAATCAGCAGCGAGAGTATGGGGAGAACTGATGTCATCAAAGAAAAATGCAGTGGAAGATATATACAAGGTATCTATCTCAGACAGCAAATAGCATTTTGATCCTTATACTGAGATTTTCCTGGAACTTAATGGCCTGATGGCCCATGTTTTGAACTGGATTTGAAAATGATAATGATTGATCATACTTTCATCTTTTTAACCTTAATTATTATTGCACGGCCAGCGTTAGCTATTGTGAGGCCTTATGAGAATACGATATTGCGGGGCCTAGTCTAGATACACGTCATGATGATATTAACTAGAAAAGCAATCAATTTTTAAATAAAGGCAATCTCGATTCAAATTTTGTTATTTTATGAGCAGTGGAGCAAAGTCTATCTATCTCTGTAAATTGTCCGCCTCAAGTAATTTTCAAACATGAAAAGCTTCTTTTATCAGATGTTACATGGGGGCGCCTATTGATGCGTGTGGCCTACCTACTGCGAACCTCGAGTTCTAGAATGTTCACACTTGCAGTAAATCTCTGTTAGTCTCACTATTGAATATATAAAAAATGCTGATTGAAATTTGAAATTCTTTATGTAATATTTTTGTTAACTGGTCTGTAAAATAGCAAATTTATTTTTGACTTCCCACGCAATCATAGGAACGTTTCTCATTATAGCATATCCGCTACTGCTTCCTCCATCAAATAAGCTTACCTGGTACAAGAAGCTTGTAAAGTAACAACTTCTATATCTGATAGTTTTCGTTGTTGGTCACATGATTAAACGGTCTTTTAGGCTCTCCTTTCCCTGTAAATAAATATGTGAATTCTGTCTTGTTCCCAGGTATCCTTCCATGATCTTGGGTCCAGTCAATCCAATCTGGATTCAGCAAGATTACGAATCAAAGAGTCAGCTGCAAAATTATGGTCCAATTATCTCACTCTCGAGAAAAAGGGTCAAGCCGGAACAAAGGAAATTGTATACTTAAATGTAAGTGTTTTGATCTTGAGACTAAAATCTGTCAAATTGGGGTAACATGGGTTTGAATGGTGTGATGGATTGGGGTGGCACAAGCAGCCACTGCAGGAAACTCCTATACTGGAAAGAACGAAAATATTTCAGGTTCGGCATTGCTTGATCAATTAATTACACCCTGATTTGAACCGTATTTTCTTTTCTGCGATACCATCATGGGAAAGTCTAACGCTTCAACTTAAAGGCCGCCACGCCCACAACTCAGTAATTTCCTCAAACTAGGACTGATCTAACCGCCTAAGAGACTTGGCGTAACCCCTGAAAAAAATTTGTGTCCAATCTTCGGACTCCACTTACGATACGAAAGAGTGCGACTCGGAGTGCAGTGACTCAACTTGCGACTCAAATTTTGAACTCTTCTGGGACTCAAAGATGAATCGAATGATTCGCAACTTGTTGACTAGGAACTTGAAGAGTTCAAAGACTTGCACCAAACCCCATTGTTAACATTTATTTAGTAAACAGTGGGAAATGGCAATGACCCTGATTGTTACCTTTATTTATTGTATTACGTATGGCAGCATATGTCTGTATTGATTCTCATTGATGTATGTTTGTTCAGAAATTGGCAAAAAAAATGTCATCACTTGCAATGTTAGGATCTGGAAGAAAAACAAAGAAGGAGACTGGAAATAAATCACACAGACATTTTACATTGCAAGTAAGTTAAACTAGAATTTCATACCAGCTTCTGCAAGGATCACTACAATACATGAGTATAAAATATATTTAACTGTCAGTACTGTATGTTGGTTTGTGCCCACAAAACTTCAGATTCCAAATATGGTATTTTAATTTGCAATTTGTGCTTTGAATTCTGTATGTATGTTTATTCAATTTTAATAAGATATGAACGATGAGAAAATAAAATTTCAAAGCATATTGTATAAGACCATTTGTACCATGCATCTTGAATAAGTACGAATAGAAACAGATAATGTCTTCTGAACCTAGCCTTTCGAGTGCAAGGTCCCTATTGCCAGAAGACCCTTTTCAAAAAGCAGCAACGAAGTAATGGATGCTATTCTGGATCCTAGTAATTGGCATTTGGAAAGATTTGATTACTTTTTTGTGTTGGTATGGTAATAGTTCATAATCTTAGAATGAAATCTATATAAACGTTCGCCAGTAGACAACTCTAGTGTAAGTTATTCAAACTATGTTTGTTTACAAATGTCTAAACACAAATTTATACAAATATACATAAATTTTACGGCGATAATGTATTTAGGTAATTAAAGCAAAGTGCGAAAAGGTGTCATTGGCCATTTAGTCGCTATTTAACTCGAAATGAATGAAGCGAATATATATGGTTTAGGAACATACCGTATAGGTTTATAGGTTTATGATCGTTTTGTTTATCACAAGAGTGTAGGACTTGCCACCAGTGTTAACTCTAAGCGAATTATGAGTGCGAAAGTGCTTCGCAGTCGAAAAAAAAAGTGCGAAAGTGCTTTTGCCGATTTTAACAAGTTAGGTGGATAATTTGTACAAAACCCGTGCAAAATAATTCCCCCCCCCCCCCTCCCCAAATATAAATAGCAATCAACTAATTACGGTTTAGGTGCCCTGGAAATTCAACTTTTCGATTTATCACTAAAACCTTAATCTGATAATTATGAATTTGTTGATTTTTGAACCACTTTGAAAGTCGCCACCCGCTGTTGTAAAAGATAGGTTAACCTACGTTCCCTCCGAAATATTACGCAGGATACTCCCCTTTAGCGGATGGTTGACCTACTTTCCTTTCAAACTTTTTTCTTCGAAATATTACACAGATCACTTTGAAAATCCTCTCGTTTCGTGAGCTAGCGTGACCTAGTTTCTCATTTATATTATACTATTTCAGAGCTTACCCAAAAGACCAGTAATTCTTAAATGTCGACATGCCTTGGCATTGCGTGCGATTTCGGGCAGAAAACATCATATATTGCAAAATGTTTAGTATTGCCGTTGTACTTTCAGCATTCATAAATAGCACTCTTTGTAATGCTGCTTGACCTAGTATCAAATATTCGCATCACAACGCCACTTGCGAGGTTTCCATATATTTCAATTACACTAATAGGAACGATGACACCAAAGAGTTTTTCTTTTGCGAGATACACGAAATATAACAGTGATTCTTGAAAAAAAACATGAATATTGAAAATAACGAATGATATGATAGTGGATCCCAAATAATTTTGAGAGTTGTCTCGAAATACCAATCCATTTGATAATAATTATTCGACCACATGAACGCTGATATCCTGAAAATTAATGTTGAAAGAGAAGTACGCATTCTCAGATATCGGACATCCAGTCGCGATATTCTATCGTTTATATGCACAAATCTCACATTAATAGTAATTGCTACCAAGTTTGTAAAGTTTAGAAACCAACAAACAGAAAATAACTTACGGTATTCTAAAACACAATTAATTCAGTCGGCAATAAATTGCGCCAAGACGATGCCATACAAAACGAAAAAGATTTGGTCGCGAGAGTTACGTTAGAGGGCTGCAAAACGACGTTGTTTTTTAAGCAGAATGTAAAACAATAAAAAAACGGGAGTTACGACGCCCTTAACACATCGTGTGTATTAAACCTCCCTGGTAAGTACTTTGGTTAGTACTATTATTATTGTACTTATACACCTGTTGGAGTATTTCGGACAGTTTCGAATTTAAAATAAATGAAAACCCGGCATACAATAAAGACGCAAAAGTAAAATGAACATTTATTGAAAAAGTTATTATTTAAGAAAGACAACATGATCGTACAATTCCGCCAAAACCTCGATGTTCGCAAGTGAGATGATAAATAAATACTTTCCTGTATTCGATCAATTAACTTTAGCGTATCGTTGTTCTGCCAACAAACAGCGGGGTGCAAAATATTTCCGTCCTGTGATATGCTCACAAATATTCTCGATATTATTATCATACCCTCGCGTATGTACTTTCTATTAGCTCTTTAGTGATCCCTTTCATCCTTGGCCAAGTCATGTTTCGAATATGTGAACATTTTATTCGACCATACATGGCCGGCGGGATGTTAAAATTGTAAACAAGAGAGAGGTAAAATCAATCGCGAATTTCGTTATAACGGCTCGTTTACGAATTGTTGCGCTTGTCATTGTCGAAAATGATTACATTTGTTGTATTTTGAGGCATTTAAGCAGTAATAATTAGGGCATGACATCATCAAAATCGTCAAGTGAGATCTTGAAATTGCAAATTCCGTGAATAAAATTGTGAATTACTCGGTAACGAATTCAGCTTTAATGACCGTCGGGGTATTGTTTTGTTGAAAATTATTATTAATGTGAGAGCGCCAAAAAGATACAGTGCATACCGATGCGACTGCAATTTATATGGCCGCACTTGGTGTGGCGCGTTTATTAATAGTGTAAAATAAATTAAACGGATATCAATTATAACCAAGCCTGTCGGCGTGTTTATTTTCTGTGGTCAAGAATCGTAAAATACCATCTTGAGACAAATTCACTCTATTGCAAAATCTTAATTTTCAGTTATTATCGTTATACAAATAACGTGTGGCAACTTTTTAATTTATCGTCGACCAAAAAACCGCCCCACACTCGCCCAAACGTGTGTCGAGCTTGAACGACAGGAACAATTTCATCGACTTTAATTAGGGAAAATATGTATTTTATTGGGAATGCAAAATAAATGTAACAAAACGCATTTTTTGTGATATAACTTTGTATTTTCGGAAACGGGTTGCCGTGAAAGGTAAAATTTGATCTAAATTAACCGCGTTAAAATCGTCAAGTGAGATCTTGAAATTGCAAATTCCGTGAATAAAATTGTGAATTACTCGGTAACGAATTCAGCTTTAATGACCGTCGGGGTATTGTTTTGCTGAAAATTATTATTAATGTGAGAGCGCCAAAAAGATACAGTCCATACCGATGCGACTGCAATTTATATGGCCGCACTTGGTGTGGCGCGTTTATTAATAGATGTAAATAAAATTAAACGGATATCAATTATAACCAAGCCTGTCGGCGTGTTTATTTTCTGTGGTCAAGAATCGTAAAATACCATCTTGAGACAATTCACTTCTATTATAAAAACTTAATTTTTCAGTTATTATCGTTATACAAATAACGATGTGGCAACTTTTTAATTTATCGTCGACCAAAAAACCGCCCCACACTCGTCCAAACGTGTTGTCGAGCTTGAACGACGGGAACAATTTCATCGACGACTTTAATTAGGGAAAATATGTATTTTATTGGGAATGGCAAAATAAATGTAACAAAACGCATTTTTTTGTGATATAACTTTGTATTTTCGGAAACGGGTTGCCGTGAAAGGTAAAATTGATCTAAATTAACCGTAAAAATGTTTTATTTTAAATGTAACAAAACACATTTTGCGATGTAACCTTGTATTTTCGAAAACGAGTGTCCTGAAAAGTAAAATATAATCTGAATTAATCGCAAAAATGTTTTATTTTAAATGTTACAAAACACATTTTCGCGATATAACCCTGTATATTCGGAAACGGATTCGTGAAAAGTAAAATATGATCTAAATTAATCGCAAAAATGTTTTATTTTAAATGTAACAAAACACATTTTCGCGATACAACTGTATTTTTCGGATACCGGGTGTCATGGAGAGTAAAATATGATCTGAATTAACCGTAAATAATGTTTCATTCCAAATGTATCGCATGGTTGCAAAACGCATTTTTTGCGATATAACTTTGTACTTTCGAAAACGGGGCGTCATTATTAATATAATGTTTTATCTATCGTCTGACTAGCGTGTCTGGTACATATCATATTCGGGGAGAACTCTAGCCCGCGAAACGTCATTTAATTTAAAATAGAGAACGTTTCACCCATTCCAAAACGGAAAATCGCCAGTAAGTCGACAGGTATTCAACCCTCCGGATTCAGTATTCTATATCCCCCGTGTCAGAACTTTCTGAAGAATGGAACAAAGAACCCGTCAAACCGCCGCGGAAGAAGGGGAGTATTTTTTGCACGAATAATTAGGGCGTGACATTATCAAAATCGTCAAGAAACTAGTGAATTTGCAAATTCCATAAATAAAATTGTGAATTGCTGGGAAACATTTTAGCTATAATTATCGCCGGGGTATTGTTTTGTTGAAAACACGTTGAAACTTGAGGGAATCAGTTACAATTAGCGCCTGACCTCTATTAGGCACTCGAGCACTCGAAAAAAAAAGCACTCGAGCCAATCTTTTAGCATTAAGTCGCATACGTAAAATATCCTGCAAAAGAAGTGCTGTTCATTAACGTCATCTCGTCTTATGACCACGCAGAAATGCCTTTATTGCCGAATTATTCAATCACTATTTTAAATCAACATTCAGGATTGGCACAATTTCGGATTTGCGAACTTTATCACCATAGAAAACATGAGAAGTTAATTATCGTCTTAATAAATATCTGCATCACGGTATCGACAATAATAATTACCATTTGCATAACATTGGGACGGTAAATATACAAATCTTGATAGGTTTTAAAGCAAACGCAAATGTTAATTTGAGTCCTCAATGTCTTCAACAGCTGCTGCCGATATGAACCAACGGGTAAACCCGAAAAATAAAACTTCGATGTCCGCCGACCCCCAAGAATTCATATTTGTAAAAAGAGAGGGCGGGAATATAG